CTAAGCTGTGTGTGAGTGTGAGTGTGACCCTCTGCTCCCAGCTAATAGGGTATTTTGAAGAAGGTTGTTCTCACCCATTCTGTGCTATGTTAATGGGGTCTGCAGGAATGTGAGGAGACTCAGGTGTGTGTCTGTGGAACAGTATTTTACTTCAGAGTGCCCTGCACATAGTCTGGCTAATGCCAAACTTGAAGTCTTCCTGATTTCGGAGTCTGGCAAGGCTGCTTGGCGTTGTAGGCACGATGTGTCGATAATGAAGGGGGCTGTGCTTTTTTTACTGGTTGGTTCTTCTCTGTGTCTTTCTCACTCAAACACCCACATGGACAACCACACACAGCCCATAAAAGCCGCCCCCTTTCAATACAACTATTGGAATTTCTAATCCAGGTCTCAACCCCCCAGGAAAGAAAAAAACTTTTGAGAGAACCAATCAAAGCTCAGACCATTTCTGTGCGAATACTGCATTTACGGTGGACTCCTATCCAGACCAGTGTGTCACAGCTCTCGTTCGCTGTGTACCACGTGAGTGGCGTCAGCCAGACTACCCTTAGAGAGAAAGTGAACTGGGCAACGAATAGCTATATAGTCGTGGTCAAAAGTTTTGAGAATGACACAAATACTAATTTTCACAAAGTCTGCTGCCTCAGTTTTGATGATGGCAATTTTCATATACTCCAGAATGTTATGAAGAGTGATCAGATGAAATGCAATTAATTGCAAAGTCCCGCTTTGCCAAGAAAATGAACTTAATCCCAAAAAAACATTTATACTGCATTTCAGCCCCAAAAGGACCAGCTGCCATCATGTCAGTGATTCTCTCGTTAACACAGGTGAGAGTGTTGACGCGGACAAGGCTGGAGATCACTCTGTCATGCTGATTGAGTTAGAATAACAGACTGGAAGCATTAAAAGGAGGGTGGTGCTTGAAATCATTGTTCTTCCTCTGTTAACCATGGTTACCTGCAAGGAAACACGTGCCGTCATCATTGCTTTGCACAAAAAGGGCTTCACAGGCAAGGATATTGCTGCCAGTAAGATTGCACCTAAATCAACCATTTATCGGATCATCAAGAACTTCAAGGAGAGAGGTTCAATTGTTGTGAAGAAGGCGTCAGGGCGCCCAAGAAAGTCGAGCAAGCGCCAGGACCGTCTCCTAAAGTTGATTCAGCTGTGGGATCGGGGCACCACCAGTGCAGAGCTTGCTCAGTAATGGCAGCAGGCAGGTGCGAGTGCATCTGCACGCACAGTGAGGCGAAGGCTTTTGGAGGATGGCCTGGTGTCAATAAGGGCAGCAATGAAGCCACTTCTCTTCAGGAAAAACATCAGGGACAGACTGATATTCTGCAAAAGGTACAGGGATTGGACTGCTGAGGACTGGGGTAAAGTCATTTTCTCTGATGAATCCCCTTTCCGATTGTTTGGGGCATCCGGAAAACACCTTGTCCGGGAAGACAAGGTGAGCGCTACCATCAGTCCTGTGTCATGCCAACAGTAAAGCATCCACATTCATGTGTGGGGTTGCTTCTCAGCCAAGGGAGTGGGCTCACTCACAATTTTGCCTAAGAACATAGCCATGAATAAAGAATGGTACCAACACATCCTCCGAGAGCAACTTCTCCCAACCATCCAAGAACAGTTTGGTGACGACCAATGCCTTTTCCAGCATGATGGAGCACCTTGCCATAAGGCAAAAGTGATAACTAAGTGGCTTGGTGAACAAAACATCAACATTTTGGGTCCATGGCCAGGAAACTCCCCAGACCTTAATCCCATTGAGAACTTGTGGTCGATCCTCAAGAGGCGGGTGGACAAACAAAAACCCACAAATTCAGACAAACTCCAACCATTGATTATGCAAGAATGGGCTGCAATCAGTCAGGATGTGGCCCAGAAGTTAATTGACAGCATGCCAGGGCGGATTGCAGAGGTCTTGAAAAAGAAGGGTCAACACTGCAAATATTGACTCTTTGCATAAACTTAATGTAATTGTCAATAAAAGCCTTTGACACTTATGGAATGCTTGTAATTATACTTCAGTATACCATAGTAACATCTGACAAAAATATCTCATAACACTGAAGCAGCGAACTTTGTAAAGACCAGTACTTGTGTCATTCTCAAAACTTCCAGGGATATTGAAGCTATAGGTACTCTATTTAATAGGTACCCTATTCACTCAATTGTAAAGAGCAATGTTGTTATGGCAATTTCCTTCTTCTGCGCTTCTTCATATAAAAGGCTGTGAGAGTTGATTGACACTGTGTGAGAAGCACAGAGACACGTACCCATGATAATATACACAAAAGTATATATATACAAAAGTATGTGGACACCCCTTTAAATTAGTGGATTTGGCTATTTCAGCCACACCCATTGCTGACAGGTGTATAAAATCAAGCACACAGCCATGCAATCTCCATAGACAAACATTGGCAGTAAAATGGCCTTACTGAAGAGCTCAATGACTTTCAACTTGGCACCGTCATAGGATACCACCTTTCCAACAAGTCTGTTCGTCAAATTTCTGCCCTGCTAGAGCTGCCCCGGTCAACTGTAAGTGCTGTTATTGTGAAGTGGGAATGTCTAGGAGCAACAACGGCTCAGCCGCGAAGTGGTTAGCCACACAAGCTCACAGAACGGGACCGCTGAGTGCTGAAGCCTGTAGCACGTAAGAATCGTCTGTCCTCGGTTGCAACACTCCAAACCGCCTCTGGAAGCAACGTCAGCACAATAACTGTTCGTCGGGAGCTTCATGAAATTGGTTTCCATGTCCGAGCAGCAGCACACAAGCCTAAGATCACCATGCGCAATGCCAAGTGTCGGCTGGAGTGGTGTAAAGCTCGCCACCATTGGACTCTGGAGCAGTGAAAACATGTTCTCTGGAGTGATGAATCAAGCTTTACTATCTGACAATCCGACGGACAAATCTGGGTTTGGCGCATGCCAGGAAAACGCTACCTGCCCGAATGCATATTGGCAACTGTAAAGTTTTGTGGAGGAGGAATAATGGTCTGAGGCTGTTTTTCATGGTTTGGGCTAAGCCCCTTAGTTCCAGTGAAGGGAAATCTTAACGCTACAGCATACAGTGACATTCTAGACGATTCTGTGCTTCCAACTTTGTGGCAACAGTTTGGGGAAGGCCCTTTCCTGTTTCAGCATGACAATGCCCCTGTGCACAAAGCGAGGTCCATACAGAAATGGTTTGTCGAGATCGGTGGAAGAACTTGACTGGCCTGCACAGAGCCCTAACTTCAACCCCATCGAACACCTTTGGGATGAATTGGAACGGCGACTGTGAGCCAGGTCTAATTGCCCAACATCAGTGTCCAACATCACTAATGCTCTTGTGGCTGAATGGAAGCAAGTCCCCACAGCAGTGTTCCAACATCTAGCGGGAAGCCTTCCCAGAAGAGTTGAGGCTGTTATAGCAGCAAAGGGGGGGACCAACTCCATATTAATGCCCATGATTTTGGAATGAGATGTTCGACGAGCAGGTGTCCACATAATTTTGGTTCATGTAGTGTAGACGTATGTACTAGCCATCCCTCACCTCTCCACACTCACAGGGCTCAGTAGCAACCTCAAAGTGGATACTGGCTGTCTGTCACAGGTGTTACATTATACAGGACGTCTATTATGTTCTCTCTCTAGGTTGTACTGTATGAAAAGACGATTCTCATTCAGTGCTACCCCTATTATCACCTTATGATTTCAACCTCCCTGGTTACCGCCACCAAGACGAAATTCATCAATTTGTTATGCTGGATTCAACTGAGGATGTTGTGTTTAGCTGGTTTTTGTTATTAGAAAAAGTAATGAAGAACCAAGTAGTGTTAAGGGTCATTGTTTTGGTGTTGTAGTACATTCTGACACATTTCTCTGTTTCTTTTGTATTCCTGGTCTATCTTGTGTTCTCGTTCGATGGGAACAGGTTACAGTCTGTTCTCTCTGATGTTGAAATGGACACAGAGGGGAGAGAAAAGCTTGGATCTGCTCTTCAGCAGCACCGACGCCACTAAATAAAATATTTCATAATCCTGCCCAAATCCTGTAATCACCATGACAACAGCAGTAGGGAGCGAGGGAGCGATGGAGGAGTGGTGTGCAAAGTGCTTTCTCTCTCTCTCCCTCTTCCCCCCTTTCCTTTTTTTGGATGGAATTTGATTTCATTCTGCCCAGCGTCGCTCTTCTCTTTTTTTCGCACTGTTCCTTTACAGGATATAAAGCTCCAGGGATGATACATTGGTGATATTGTGCAGTGTGTTAGGAGAAGGTTGAGATATTGTGGTCTGTAGTATCATGCTGTAACAGATACAGAACACAGGTGTGTGTGTGTGTGTGTATGTATGTGTGCGTGTGCGCGCTAACTTACGCGTGTGTGTGCAGTGCGTACACACAAACACACACACAAACACACACACACACACACACACACACACACACACACACTGCCCTTGCAGGGTTGTGATATGGTGGGAGTGACCTCATGGGGTGAAAGGCCTTGTTGCCTGGTAACTGGAGTTACCAGGAGTCACAACGATGAGACACAGCAGAGGGGTTGGTCATTTCAGGAAGTATTGAGTGTGTGTTATTGATCCGTCTTACCAGGTGATTGTGGAGAAGAGCACTCAGTCCTGTCAGAGTCAGAGCATTCATTGTATCGAACTGTCAGTTTTCACAGCGTATGTGTGTGAGGGAGTGAAAAGATTACATACGCACATCCAATGTCTTTGTGCAAGTGCAGTTCAGTGAATCTGTTAAAAAGAGACTCCACACACACTGCGATCTATTCTCCAATGTGGTTTATTGTAGGCAATGTGCCGTCCCTTCAGGTTTTCATCAATTTTCCTCCTCTCTCTCTCTCTCCTCTCTCTCTCTCCTCTATCTCTCTATCTCCTCTCTCTAAATATCCTCTTTCTCTCTTTCTTCTCTCTTTCTCTTTCTTCTCTCTCTCTGTCTCTTCTCTCTCTCCATCTCCATCTCCTCTCTCTCTCTCTCTCTCTCTGTAGGTATCCGGCCCCAGATCATGAATGGGCCGATGCACCCTCGCCCCCTAGTGGCCCTGCTGGATGGGCGTGACTGTACAGTAGAGATGCCCATCCTCAAAGACCTGGCCACCGTCGCCTTCTGTGACGCCCAGTCCACCCAGGAGATCCATGAGAAGGTACAACACACACAATTACCCACGTACGCACACTCTTCCACACGCTGGCACACACACACACACACACACACACACACACACACACACACACACACACACACACACACACACACACACAGGGACTGCATGGGTTTGTGTCCTCAATTCAAACTGTAGCTGTCTTTTCACTTCCTCCTCCTTCTCCTCCTCTTCCTCCCCCTCTTCTTCTCCTTCTCTAACATAAAACAGATACTACAGTACAGTATATTGTCTCTCCCACCCTTTCCCATTTCTGTGAAAGTGATTTTATTAGGATGTAATGTCATTGGCTGGCGGTATGCTCCTCCTCTCCTCTGGTTGTTAAATAGAGAGGCTGGTTATGGGAAAGGAATGTCATTATATACTGAGATAGCATGTAGCGCTCCTTAACGACAGAGTCATCAGCAATTTACCAGTGCAACATCAAATCTTCCCCTCTTCATGTAAAATACAAAATGTGGAAAAAGGTTGTTAACAAAACAAAGCAATTTCCATGTATTGTGTATGTTGACACTACAGTTTATCAGCGTTGAAAAGCTTAATAGTGATAATCAATTGTTAACAAGGTTTGTTGACATAGATTTTGTCAGCACAGGAGGTGTTGAACCATTTACAAATATACATCTGCGTGTGACGCATAGAGAGAGAGCGAGTGAAATTGGAAAATAGAAAGAAACTGGGTTGGATAGATGGATGGATAGAGAAAGTGAGAAAAATAGGACCAGAGTTCTTTTGATCTCTTGACCTCTTTTCTCAATGGACCCTGGCCTCTCCGTGCTCCCCTGCTCACACACACCAAGGCCTTTCTGTCCAATCAGCTGTTGTGTTTGCGCATACATTACAAAACGAGATGGCCTGCCCTGGGTGTAGAGATATTGGCAGAGCTGCCGCCTTTGTAGCAAGTCAGCAGAGACAGCAGAAGTGGCACTCCACACACACAAGAGGAGAAAGGGCCCCACACAGGGACTCACACGCAAACAAACCACAAACATTGGCTCACACACACAGGCTCAAATGCTGACTCACTGATTTCACACACACACACATATACACATACACACGTCACCTCTCATACACACAAATTCACACACTTTAATCATATAGACTGAAACACACACACTGATGCCTCTGCATGCATCGCCTGAGAAGAGGAGCCAAGTTAGTTCCCTGACAGGAGCCTGAACCTGCATATTTCTTCTCAGTGGCATTGCGTTAGAGAACTGTTGGGAAGATACAATGACTCACTATACAATTCAAAGCAGGGCTAGACTTATCATGTTTTGGTGGTGACTTATCACTCTATATGATGTGTTGTGTGGGCAAATGGTTAGCGTGCTAATGCGTTATCTCTCCCTCTGATGTCAGAACAATGTTAGCAGTTTAACCATCTGTTTGTGGACTTGTTTCCGTGAGTTAGTGAGTGAATTGATACAAATGAATGTTGAGCATTATATCAGCTTATAATCTGTACAGCTACCGCACCACCCCCACACCAACTCTCTCCCCGCATAATTTTGATCTTGATAAAAAAATTATCTAAAACTGGCCCTTTGACATCTATTGGGCCATATCCAACTGTTTTTTTTTACAACTACTGTGTATTTTAATACTGGCCCACCATAGTTATAAAAAATAACATTTCCATTTAGTCTGACACATTGCTCAGCGATTACCCCGCTTGCTTAATGACTCACACAGCATTGGTCATTACAACCCACAGGATGCATTGTCTCCAGCCAAACTTGCCTCTGGCTAGCAGCACAGCCTAAGCAATTAGATGAAGGCATGAGGAGAGCTTCAACCTTGAATTAGCATCTAGGGCTGATTTCAGCTAGCTCTCATAAAACCCTTATGGAAATTCACAGCTATGCTAATCTGGCAGGCCAAGCAAATGCAGTTAGCCGGTGGAGAATTTAAAGCTATTATTTACCAAATGTGCCTGACAGAGGGCACTTGCTATGCTATCTGGGTATCTGGATAACCATCAATCTAGTTTATGACCCTGCCTGTCTCCACCCTAACCTTGTTTGCGTACACCGATTCTGATAAACCAGGGGCTTTTGACACACACACACATACACAAAATTCATGTTTATTTGTTTATTTAAAAAAAAGATAATGATGAAATGCCTTTGATGATGATGATGATGATGATGATGAAGGTGACTCTCCCTTTCTCCATCAGGTGCTGAACGAGGCAGTAGGTGCCATGATGTATCACACCATCACCTTGACCAGAGAAGACCTGGAGAAATTCAAGGCTCTACGCATTATCATCCGCATCGGCAGTGGCTACGACAACATCGACATCAAGGCAGCCGGAGAGATGGGTAGGAGAGAGAAAGAAAGAGGAGAGAGGGATAAGATAAGACTTTATTGATCCCCTAAGGGGACATTTTATTGCAGCGGCCAATACAACATAGAAATAACAACAACCCGCTCGTCAGCACTGCAGCCAAGACTTTTTGGGATGCAGCCAAACCAAACACTGCTTTTATAATTTTACATAACATGTAATTGGAGTATTATCCCCTAAATACACAGACAAAAGCTGTGAAAACATTGATAAGAAATACTCCCCCACAGATTTCATTTTTGCCCCAGGCATGTCACTTAATTAAAACAAAAATCCTCAATAAACATAGAAGCCTGGTGTGAAACATGTCTTTTGTTTCCTATTTGTGCACTATAATGCAAAAATATGTCATTGCCTTTCCAAGTGTGCAGTTTTTGCATGTTTCTTGGACACTTAGTTGTTCCTTCCATAACCAGCACATTGCTGTGCACAGGGCTTCTACTTATTTTTAGTCTTCTTCATCCCTCATCATGTCTTCCCTCTCGCTTTGCCAGGCATCGCGGTGTGTAACATCCCGTCGGCAGCGGTGGAGGAGACGGCAGACTCCACTCTGTGCCACATTCTCAACCTGTACCGGCGGAACACCTGGCTGTACCAGGCTCTTCGGGAGGGCACACGGGTCCAAAGCGTGGAGCAGATCAGAGAAGTGGCGTCCGGAGCCGCCAGGATCCGAGGAGAAACGCTGGGCCTCATCGGCTTTGGTGAGTCACAGGAGATGTCTGTCTTTGGTAACACACACTGTTGTGAGAGTGCTTTGGTAACATACGCACATCCATGACACTGTGATCCGCTTCTGACACTGTATTCATGTGTATGTCTACAGGTCGTTCAGGGCAGGCGGTGGCGGTGCGGGCCAAGGTGTTTGGCTTCAACGTGATCTTCTACGACCCCTACCTGCAGGACGGCCTTGAGCGTTCGCTGGGTGTTCAGCGTGTCTACACTCTGCAAGACCTGCTCTACCAGAGTGACTGTGTCTCCCTGCACTGCAACCTGAACGAACACAACCACCACCTCATCAACGACTTCACCATCAAACAGGTACACACATACTCACACGCATGCAAACACACACACATACACACAATCCTCAAATAGGCCATAACAGTACAGGACTGCGCACCCAGCCTCACGGTGTAGTTGTTGATCACCACTGCCACCTGCAGTCAGCTTTTCAAACTCCATGCTGCTATAGAAGTCTAACATCAATGTCCTCTTTGAAATGTGAGGGGCAGTCTCATCAAGGAAGAACCTGGTTAACTTGCTATTTATATATTAAAAGAACTATACCATACATTTCTGAAAGAACATCAGTATGCCTGTGTGTATGTTTGTATTTGTACGTGCGCGCGTGTGTGGCTTGTGCCTTTTACAGAGCAGATACAACTAGAACTCTCTGTGCACTGAATTCAAGCTTTTATCAAGATGAAGGAATTACTTTTATCCAGATGCCCTCATTTCATCGCTGTCTCTCACTTTTGGTACACAGAGGTTTGCCTTTTTGGATTTGAACCTAAGCTTTTAGTATGTGAAGCATACTGCAAGGGCAGCTTAGGGCTTTATAGTTGAAAGCACCACTGCAGGGACGTACTGTAGCAGTGGGCTCCCACATGTGTATTCTCCAGGAGAGGGAATGTCACTTGATGTTAGTAAAACAGGTTTACTTTTGTTTTAGATGCGTCAGGGTGCGTTCCTGGTGAACTCTGCTCGGGGAGGTCTGGTTGATGAGAAGGCCTTGGCTCAGGCCCTGAAAGAGGGCAGGGTACGGGGGGCCGCCCTGGACGTCCATGAGTCAGAACCCTTCAGGTGAGTGTGTGCGTTTATCTGTGTGAATAGATAACTTCATCAACTCCATTATCCAGTTCACCTTAGCCAATCTCTCTCTGTCTCTGGTGTGTGTAGTTTTACCCAGGGTCCTCTGAAGGATGCGCCTAACCTGATCTGTACTCCTCACACGGCCTGGTACAGTGAACAGGCCTCACTAGAGATGAGAGAGGCCGCAGCCACAGAGATACGCAGAGCCGTCACTGGTAAACACACACACAGATACACACACACACATACATTATATCACACCTAGAAACTCATTTGGAGCTAATTCTTTACTGGAATGTTTTTGTTTTTCCGATGCAGGCCGTATCCCTGACAGTTTGCGAAACTGTGTCAACAAGGAGTTCTTTGTTACCACAGCTCCCTGGACAGTGGAACAGCAGCAGATGCAGCAGCAAATGCAGCAGCAAATGCACCCCGAACTCAACGGTGCCGCGTACAGGTAGGGAAGCTCAATCACAACCAAACAGACCATTATGTAGGGAACCCCTCTTTTTGGTCAGGCCCACTTCCTCCTGCATATACTATCCACATAACCAGGACTTAAACATTTTGATTAAAAAAAGGGGGATTTCTTTCTAAGTAAAAAGAGTAAAAGAGTCATTTCCATGCTCAGGTACAAAAAAGTGTCCCCTGTATTCAGTATATGATAACCTCTTCTCTTTTCTATTCAACCTTCCTGGTATTTTAGGCTGGGTTTTCCGTAGCGGCATATAGTGGAAATGAAGAGCTATGGGGACACATTGATTACTACCATCCCCTGCTATTATTTATCAGGCAGTCACAGTATTGACCTCTCAGTCTCTCACCCTATACCTACTGTCTCAACTGGACTGAACTACTTCTCTTACACAGCCGAGTCAACCAAACCATGGTACAGGCCATAGCAACTGGGGGAATGCAAGACAAATTATATACCTAATAGAAAACAAGGTAAATACTACCGATGCTGACCCACAGTGATAGGCTCAGGCCCGCCTGTGCTGATCAAAGCATAACTGCTGTTGGTTTTCATGATAGTCTGTCTAATTTATTTCTCACCCGATATACCTGCTCTGCCCACCCTCTCATTAAACCCCTTATTTCCTACCCCAAAACCTGGCCTCTTGTACCATACCAAATAATAAAACATCTATTGAAAGTTGGCACATTATGGCAACCATTTGATTGTAAGTACAGTCAGTGTTGTATTCCATATTGTTCCCTGCACAGGAAGTATGAGGTTTGCTTGGGTCTATTTGTGACATTTGTTTCATTTTTCCTCTAAACACCCATTTCCCCAAACGGTTCACGGTGTCTGTCCCCTGAAATATCCAGTCAGGAATCTTTCCTTGATCTGTCATCTATAGCCCTACAAACCATTCCCTTATGCCTAAATATAACTATATTTTGTTGATATCTGAGTGGTTTAGTAAATGAAGATATATTTCTCTGATACGTTTATCAGTTTCCCAAGAACAACAGATGAGGTCTTGTGGTCGTTTTGAATCCTGAATTGACATGTAAGAGTTGAATCAGTTTTCAGATTTCATGTGATGTCTGTTTTGCACCACACTATGTGTGACTTCACTTGCTTTGATTAGAATATTCACCACTGAATTTGATCCTTAGCCTCATTTCTAATGTGAGGCAACAAACGTTTTTAAATGTAGCAACTTAAAATGGCCATTTAAAGGCTTATCAGGTTATTGTAACCAATGAGGTATTGTTATGGTACCATGTGACCTGACCATTGTCTCCCTGGCACAGGTACCCCCCTGGTGTGGTGGGTGTGGCCTCGGGTGGGATCCCTGGGCCGATGGAGGGGATGATGCCCGGGGGGGTGCCCATCACCCACACCCTGCCCTCTGGTACCCACCCCTCCCAGGCCCCCTCCCCCAACCAACCCTCCAAACAAGGGGAGCCCATGAGACAGCACATGACCGAGCCATAACTCTGCATCCAGGGAGGAAGGAGTTCATATATACACAACCGACCAACTGACCCACCCACTCTTAGACCAGCAGACTGATCGTTAGGGTTCACACAGAACACCGGAACCAAGTGGGGACAGTGAATATATTCACAACTGACACTCCAAAGTGGAGTCCGTCAAAACTCATGTTCCAAGGATCTGAACTTTTCACTTCTCTTTTTCCTTTGTTTTAGTTTTGATTCAGTTTAAGTGTTTACTCATTTTTTTATTTTTGAGCATTTGTTGGAAGATTCCTGTGTTCTGGGACACCTTGTTACTGAGTGCCAGAGTTAAGGCCCGCCCATCTTGACTGACCACCAATGGGAGAGCATGGAAGGACAATGACATCATCTGTTACTGGCCAGCTCCAACCCCACCTTGCCCCATTCTTCATTTCAGTTCAGTCCACGTGTGTCTGTGTTTTTCTTTCACCTGTTCTGAGACCACCCTACAAGTGAATATCTGTCTTTCTGTTCTTCAATGTGAAAAAAATAAATGATTATAAAATGACATATATTTATCAGACAGTAGAAAAAGACAATTGGTGTTGCCAGTGGCATCGGCAGTCTCAATGGGGACCTCTAAACCCTTTCCTAGTCCATCTCTCTCACCCTGTAGACTGCTGGCTCATGAATTTACAGACAGTAATGATGGACACATCAGGGTTGCCAGATCTCTTGAGTCTCATGACCAGTACGAGACAACAACAATAAGCCCAAATTGCCATTCTGAAGAATCAAAACAAAACTCAATTTAAGTGAATATGGGACCTGAAACCCTTATTTTAATTTGTCCATTGTGAACATCTCTCAACCCCTGAGAACACCCGAAGTATTATAGAGAAGATTTAGTTCTGGTAATATAGCTTTTTAGTCATTTAGTTTCTCTAAAGAGCTTCTTCAAAGATCCAGGTTCTGATGCACAAGGGGGAGAGAGACTAGTGTTAAAAAGGTTATGATCGCAATTTCAGACAATGTGAAGTTTTAACTATTGATTAATTGCCTTTCATTCCGACTTCAGATTCAGTAATAACGTGGTGGTCTGTCACTAAAATATTGAAATAAGAAATGCATGCACCTCTGCTTTTACCTGGACCTCTACATCATGGATTTGGACATTGTCACGGGTGTTTGTATACTAGAGGGACCTCTTAAAATGTCCTGTTTTTTCTCACCAAAAGGACTTACAAAGTAGCACCAGCCAGACAGGAAAGGGTTTGGAAAGTGAGGTTACTGACTCAGGAAAAATAACTTTTGCAGATATTATCTTTTTCCCAAATTCTGTCTGAAAGAAAAAAAAGTCTGGATCGTTCCGCGTGTTTCCACCTTTTCTTCATTGTGGTATTTTTATAAATCAAACCTGTCTTTTGGTGTTCAAGGTTTTTGCAGAGTCCTGTTAGATTTGTATTGGCTAGTTAAATGTTCTTATAATCATAGTCTTATGTGAACCACCATTTCTTTCTTATTTTTTGTTTTCTGTTCTAATGAAAGCCAGTTGGAGCTCTTAGAGGCATCGTGCACTGCACTCTGTGAGCAATAGCAACACCCCTCTAGTGCCCCGATGTTAGCAAGACACGGCTGCTAGCAGATTGTTTGGTTTTTAGTGTGAGTATTTGTATTTGTTTCTTGTACAAGGTGAACATATAGCATTCAGTGCAGTTCAAATAAAAAAATGCTGTTCTATCAGGCTCTGTGAAAGGTTTGTGAAATTGGTGTTTGACTTTGCTGCTTATTCATGCGTATGAGGTTTATCATTACCAATGTGGACTAGGTGGAATTGACATCAGTAGCTAGGTTTCCATCCAATTGGCGACAGATTTTCATGCGAATATTCTAAAATACACATAAATGAAATATATGCGCATTTTTCCCACCAAACTGACTTGTTGCTGATAAAAATCAGTGTGTGATGAGTAGTGCACACAATGTACTTTTTCGCTTATGTTTTCATGTACCGAATAAAAATGTAAAGTTCAACGAGTTTCGCATTTTCAACTCTACCAATAGATTTGTCACAAAAACTGTAAATATCAAATGTGCCTACTCTGGTTTTGGCATGTGTGCTCTAGCCCAGGGATTCCCAAACTCGGTCCTGGGCCCCCCTGGGTGCACGTTTAGGTTTTTGCCCAAGCATTAGTTGGTTATTTGAATCAGCTGTGTAGTGCTAGGGCAGGACCGAGTGGGGGGTGGGTGGGGGGAGAAGAACCCTGCTTTAGCCAACAGCTGGCAGAGACAGTGTGGGTAGGCTAGTATACATGATGAGATTATTATGGATAAGAGCGAGAATATTTTTTATTGTCAAACCGCAGTTAAGCATCGATCATCATGTCACCAGAATAAGACCCTCAATATTTATTGGAAAGGAGCATCATGCTCATAACCATGCACTTTCACCACCTTGTGAAGTTCATAATTTATTTAATCTGTATCCTAATAAACTGCATGCTTTCCCGAGTCGTAGTGGGATGACCACTTCCTGTTTCTATGATTTTTATAAATACAGTATGACTTTACTTGCATAAAAACTGTGGATGTTAACGTGGTTAATCACCGGTCTGTTTATTAGGTACACCCATCTAGTACCGGGTTTGACCCCCCTTTGCCTCCAGAACAGCCTGAATTATCAGAGGCATGGTTTCTACAAGGTGTCGGAAACGTTCATTGCTCAATTGATAAAGGGACCTAACGTGTGCCAAGAAAACATTCCCCACACCATTACACCACCAGCCTGTACCAGGCAGGATGGGTCCATGGACTAATGCTGCTTCTGCCAAATCCTGACTCTGCCATCAGCATGTTGTACTGCGCCGTTATGTCTGTTTGTGGCCCGCCTGTTAGCTTGCATGATTCTTGCCATTCTACTTCGACATCTCTCATCAACGAGCTCTTTTTGTCCAAAGGACTGCTGCTGACTGGATGTTTTTTTGTTTGTTGCACCATTCTCGATAAACTCGAGATACTGTCGTGCGTGAAAAGCCCAGGAGGGCGGCCGTTTTTGAGATACTGGATCCGGCGCGCCTGGCACCGACGATCATACCACAAGTTGAATAGGACACTCGTTTTGCCCGTACTAGAGCTCAATCACAGTAACGGAATGCCTCCATGCCGTCTTTATATAGCAAGCCACAGCCACGTGACTCACCGTCTGTAGGAGCAATCCATTTTCGTGAATGGGATGGTGTACCTAAAACTGTCCGGTGAGTGTATAACTAACTTATCAATGTAATGACCTTCAGTCGGCCCTTTCTCGATTTTGTGGTGTAATGGGTTTACTGGCCACACAGGGGTGCTAGAAACATACATGTTCCCATAAGAACTAAAAATGATTACAAATGAGTAGCATTATAATTTAGGATAGTCTACACTTGGTTCTTTCCTTTGACATTCCTTTAACAATAACAATCTATAACCAGGTGCATCACATTGTAGTCAATTCATACTGAAACACTCAAACGACACCACATCACAGAGTTGACATTTTATAAAGACTTCATAATTGGACATTCAAAAAGGTATTCCTTTATTTTTTCCTGTCCGTGCCACACACGCTAAAGCGAGGTCAGGCTTTTACCTAAATCCACAAACCATCATAGTCAGATCTGCAACTATTGCATAAATACAAAGCAACATACAGGTGATGCTCAAAATGTGTATAACTAGATTGTAATACACCAAAATAAAAAGTTACAGTACTCAACAGCAAGGAAACCCAACAAAAACGTCTTTCACTGCTAAAGTATGATTTTTCAACTTTGGTTTATGTGCAGTCTCTCACAAAGACCTTAATCAAACTCAATTCAAGATGGGTTCACATATACACAAGAAACATACATTAGGAGGAAAATAAACACAGGTACCATGGGTTAAACTTGACAGGGAAGAAAAGCAAGACAGAGTAAAAAGATGAGAATATGACAAGAAACTGGTGTGATTCTGGTTTAATGTCAACATTGAATGTCTTACTCTCTCACTCTCCTCCAAAAACAAAGCACCAACCATCCAAATGAGATACTGAATCACATGAGATCTGAAATCAACTTTTACAGATGGTTGTTATTTTCCTCACAGCAAAAATGTTTCTGTGCAACATAAAAACATGTCTTCATCAAGATTTAAATAATAATACAGAGAATCAAAGATCTCCTCAGCTCAAAAGCTCCCAAACAAATAAATATGTAAAATTAGTTTGGAGATGAATATAAAAACAAGACATTTCATTTCAGCCAGTCTGGAAAAAAGTTAAACTACAGATCCATGTGTATGATCTGTCTCCTAAACCTTAGTGACTTTGAACTTCCTTTTCAAAGCTTAATAAATGACCTTTATTCAAGCAGTTATATTCATATAGAAATGTGTCTTTCAATAAATGTGCAGTGCTTAGTATTAAGTATTAAGTTCATATTACACAATCGAGACGGTTTTCTGTTGGCTCCCCTGACTCAAAGATATGTTGGCTTAGTCACTGCCCATCAAAAAAACAAGCCAACTCTATTTCAACTGGAAAAACAACTAAAATAACTAATTTTGGAAGTGTGCTTCGTCAGTGCCCATAATAAACAGATATAAAGATGTTTGAAATCGATGCTGGTATATTTCCTTATACTTATTTTTTTAAACAACCACATGCATTTACACTTTTGGATAAAGATTTTACATTTGAAAACCCCAAAAAGAAAATCAATAAAGATAAATAGCATCAGTATACTACAATCCTTTACTTCCCATCATCCTCAGGTCTTTTTGCAGCAGTGGACCATTTCTTCTGTCAGTCTCAGGTATTTGTAAGTGTGTGTGTGTGTGTGTGTGTGTGTGTGTGTGTGTGTCCTCTGCCAGGGTGCGGTGAGGCTCAGGATTCCCTCCCCTTTCCTGAGGGCTTCCACAGTTTGTCCGTGTCAAGAAAGGAGGAAAAACTAAAAACCAAGGGTGAACCCCTGCCTCTGGGGACCCCGCCTACTCCTGTTTCGTCACTCATCATCATCATCCTCATCTTCCTCGCCGTCGGAGAGCGAGGCGCGGATCTGTCGGTAGCCGTCTAGCCACTTCTCCACCATCTGTGTGACCAGGGGGTGGTTCCGCCGGCGGGAGCTCTTCTGCATTGCCACCAGCACTCCGCCCTCCGTCACGCAGCAGTCCAACCACTCCCTCAGCAGCTTCTCCTGCTGCTCCTCATTCCCCATCTGACACACACAAAAACCATCAACCATGAGACTACATCTCATTAGTTACCCATAAAGGATGCTCTCATACTGAGAAAATTACATTTCACATTCCAGCCACTTCACGAGAATAGCATGAGACTCTTACTAGGCATACATCTTACACTAGTCACTTATTGGATGGTATAATAGAACTACGTAATCAACATGAATAGTAGAATCAGACTAAATCCTTGAAAAGTAGCAAGTCAGGGGGTCCATATTCATGATACCACAGCAGGTGATCCCTCCTACCTCCTGTGCTGAGAGGAAGTGGATGTGGAGCAACTTTCTCTCGCTGTCCACCAGCGGTAGGAAGGTGACGGTAACGTCGTCGTCTGTGTTGAGGTTGGCGCCTGCGCCCCGATTGTCGAAGCCGTCGTTCTCCATGGCCACCAGTGCAGAGAAGTGGCCGCGAGTGTAGCCCAGAGCGATGGGACTCTTCCAACAGAAACTCTGCTCCCACAGCAGGGGCAAGTACACACCTGGGGGGGGGGTGAAGAGCGAGAGAGAGCGCGAGGGAAATGTAGAGGGAGGGGCGAGGTCAAAGAGTCAAAAAGGGGAGGGACAGAAATTAAGAGAAGTAGAAAACAAACCAAAAAATGTCAGAACAGGCTGATGACCAGACCTATGGAAACCAATACGTATTGCTCAACAACAGGTTCCCAAACACAATGGACACTTTCCCTGAGATTATTCACTCAGCCTCCTAACCCACCAGACAGCCTGTGCAAGTGAATGCAACGGTTCACCTTGTGACCATACTAACTGAAACCACAAACCACTGTTCGAGCGTTGAGTTATTATCCCACTCTGTGCAACAGTCTGCCATTGTTTTTTTACTGGAGCTTTGTGTTTTTAAACAGCTTTCTCCTTCCCTCCCTGATGGATGCCCATCAGCCGCTCCTTAACACAAACAGTAGCCTATATCATTCCTCTATTAGCGGGACATTACCACAGGCAGCCCATCGTTAGAGAGCTTTCATTATGGCTCCGCAGGATAATTAAAGCCAGACTTTTTACGGACGTGGACCCCGCCCTCAGCCCTTACTGGGCACCTGTTTTACACTACCACGCCATCTTCTCCTGATGGCTAACATGTTGAGAGACCTTCTAAAAGGATGTACAGTGTGATCCATTCATCTGCACCACAATGCATTGCTTCATAGTTAGGGAGAGGGGAGGGGTAGGATTATTTTGGCAGAATTGTTTCGACTCGTTTTAGGGAGTCACATGCATGCTGTATCAGCATTGGAACAATCATGTTGAACAATTGTAACCCCCTCCTCCCCTTACTAATCAACTTGGACTGAATATATTATGGAAAACAATAGACATTCTTTTGTCATGTACATTAGGGAATCGTTTCAAGGAATCATGTCATACAATTCTATCTGCAATGATAAGGGTCATGCCACGAGACTGTCAGTTGGGAACAGATGTTATATGTCCCAATACCATGTTATCGGGTTTATGAACTGATATACAAAACAATTGACCCATCAATCCGTTATTTTCCATTTAAACTATAATATAAAATTCTCGCTACACAAAAAGAATGCTCAATGTATGGGGCATTGAACAGTCAGCCCGGTGAAGACTGCAGTGAAGACACAGAATCAATAGATCATCTCTTTTGGTACTGTCCTTCGGTGGCTCGCTTTTGGAGGAGTCAGGTCCAGGAGTGGTTGTTAGAAAGGGAAAGTGGATACCTAGTCAGTTACACAACTGAACGCAGTCAACTGAAATGTGTCCTCCGTATTTAACCCAACCCCTCTGAATCAGAGAGGGTGTTCAGATGGACCTACAACCCAGTACTGTCAGGAAATCTGAAAAACCACAATCAATCAATGGGAAATATGATTATACTCTTAGGCAAAGTATTTATTTTTAGGGCAATCTTGATAGAAATTGAACAGATAGAGGTTCAAGACCCTCATAAGATATCACAGTAAAATAGAAGGATGAATTGGAAAAGGAAATAGTACAATGGTAATATACACTGGGAAAGATGGGTTAGTCTGTGGACATCTGAGGGGTAGAATTAAGATTAGTGGTTGGCCAATACACTTGGGTTCCAGTATGATTAGGAAATAAACACACACATGACCAAAAGTATGTGGGCACCTGCTCGTCGAACATCTCATTCCAAAATAATGGGCATTAATATGGAGTTGGTCCCCCCTTTGCTGCTAGAACAGCCTCCATTCTGGGAAGGCTTTCATTGCTGCAGGGACTTGCTTCCATTCAGCCACAAGAGCATTAGTGAGGTCGGGCACTGGCGTGGTTACATGTGGTCTGCGGTTGTGAGGCCGGTTGGACGTACTGCTAAATTCTCTAAAACGACGTTGGAGGCAGCTTATGGTAGAGAAATTAACATTCAATTCTCTGGCAACAGCTCTGCTGGACATTCCTGCAGTCAGCATGCCAATTGCATGCTTCCTCAACTTGAGACATCTGTGGCATTGTGTTGTATGACAAAACTGCACATTTTAGAGTGGCCTTTTATTGTCCCCAGCACAAGGTGCACCTATGTAGTGATCATGCTGTTTAATCAGCTTCTTGATATGCCACACCTGTCAGGTGGATGGATTATCTTGGGAAAGGAGAAATGCTCACTAACAGGGATGTAAACAAATGTGTGCACAACATTTGTAAGAAATAAGCTTTTTGTGCGTATGGAAAATTTCTGGAATCATGACACATGGGACCAACACTTTACATGTTGCATTTATATTTTTGTTCAGTATGTGTATATGTGTGTGTATATATACACTATTTATACAAAAGTATGTGGACACCCCTTTAAATTAGTGGACTCGACTATTTCTGCCCCACCCGTTGCTGACAGGTGTATAACATTGAGCACACAGCCATGAAATCTCCATAGACAAACATTGGCAGTAGAATGGCCAGTACTTAAGAGCTCAGTGACTTTCAACGTGGCACCGTCATAGGATGCCTCCTTTCCAACAAGTCAGTTCGTAAAATGTCTGTCCTGCTAGAGCTGCCCCGTCAACTAAGTGCTGTTATTGTGAAGTGGACAGTGGCGGCTGGCCGATAGAGGGCGCTAGGGCGCCGCCCCCTTAAATAAAATTATTTTAAAAAATAAAATAAAAAATAAATAAAAATAATAATAATAAAAACATCAGTATGTCAATATTTGTGTGTTTGAAATATGGAATGCACACAGTAATATGTGTAAGATATGATAGAAAATCATATTCGCAACCTTTCCTCTGCCTGTCAAACGCCTCGTCAGCTCTGGGCGATACAGAAAGTGCCCCGAGGAGGCGGGTCTACGTAGCAGTTAAGCCAATTGCTAATTTAAGATATGAATGTATGACATAAAATGTAGCTAATCAGCGATTTTAATTCGAATCCAAGGAGGGCGATTATTTTATCGCCCCAAGCTCGCCCCTGATAAAATAAGGACCGGGCTCCAGTGGCGCCATTTTTACTAGACGACAATGGCGAGCGCAAACGTTACTCCTCCAAGACCCAACCCTAACTCGGTGAAATCTCTCCTCCAAGATCCGTTTGAGAGGAGAACTTTGTCAGAGAAAGTTCGGGTGAAAGAGCTGGGCCCAGATCAACCTGACCTCTCAATCAGACAGCAGGCTAGCGAGAAAGGGAAGCAGTATATGCGCGGCTTCTCCCGTAGCTGGTACACCAGGAAGGCTTGGCTAGCTGGGTGCACTGATGCTAATGCTTTATTTTGCTTTCCGTGCTTGCTTTTTAAAACGACGGGGTCAGATTCAGCATGGACAGGTACCGGAGTGAGGGATATGAAGCACCTGTCAGAGAAGGTAAAGAAACATGAGAACACCAGGGCACACATGGACAACTCTGTAAAGCTAGCTGTATTAGGAAGGGTGAACATTGCTACGCAGCTGGATGACGGCCACAGGATTGCGGTGAGGAAACACAATGAGGAGGTGGATAAAAACAGGCACATTCTATCCAAAATTATCGATTGTGTGAAGTTCTGTGGGGCTTTTGAGTTGGCCTTGCGTGGGCACGAGGAGACTGACTCCTCGGACAACCCCGGCATTTTCCGGGGCTTAGTGGATTTTGTTGCCTCCCTCGACAGTGTGCTGGAGGAGCACCTGAAGACAGCTACCGTTTTTAAGGGCACGTCAAAGACGATACAGAACGAGCTGTTGGACTGTATGCTGTCAGTGCTTAAGGATTACATCCTGGAGGAAGTAAAGAGTGCTGATTTTATCGCCATTCAAGCTGACGAGACGACTGACGTTTCCACCCACTGCCAGTTGGTGCTTGTGATACGCTACATCGATGCTAAAAGTAACGTCCAAGAGCGTTTTTTCGAGTTCATTTTGATCGAGAACGCAACCGCCGACACCATCGCTACAGCGCTGCTGGAGAGGCTCAGCACCATACTCTCACATGGACAAAAGGCCAAACTTATTGCCCAGGCTTACGACGGAGCAAGTGTGATGAGGGGAGCCACCGGCGGAGTGCAGCGTAAAATAGTGGATGTGTACGAAAATGCGCACTACGTCCACTGCTATGCACATCAGCTGAACCTCATCATGCAGCAGGCTACTTCACGCATCCCCAGGATCGGCACTTTCTTTTCCGACCTTGCAGGATTTTCTGCTTTCTTCTCCAGGTCTCCCAAGCGAACCACCGTGCTTGACGAAGTGGTTGCGCATAGACTCCCCAGAGCCTCTACAACACGGTGGAACTTCCACAGTCGCGCTGTAAACACTGTGTACGAGTACAGGGATGACCTCCTAACGTGTTTCCAGACCATCAGAGACTCTGGGAACTTTGATGCCCCGACTGTCAGAGAGGCGGGGGGCTTTGGGAGGATGCTCGAAGACGAGGCTTTCTGTTTTTTCCTGGCACTGTTCCACAAGATCATGCCAAATGTGGACATGCTTTTCAGCCAGCTGCAGAAGAGGAACATCGACCCTGTCTTCATTAAAGCACTTCTCCAGAGGTTCACAGACAGCATGCTAACAATCAGGTAAATAACTATATTTACTATTGGCTGATAAAGATGTTGTTAGAAAGATGAATAGTTCACTTACAACAGTTTAAAAGCCTAAATGTGTCTGGTCATCAAAGTGAGTGATTATCATAGAGCCGTCACAATTATATTTGTTTTAGTATTTTAAAAGGAAAGAGAAGACACAATCAGACGTTGATAATAATGCAGGAAAGTACTACACAGTTTGTAATAATTATTCAGGTGTCCACCAGGTCAATTTCTAGAAGAGGCCTAGTTGTTATTGAAGATTAACTTTATTGCTAAGTGCACAGCAGAACAAAATGATGTTGCATCCCTCTCACAAATGTAATAGAAAAAGGCTTTAAAACGTAATAACATCAGTTAATTATGTACATCACAGGTTAAAAGCAGTTACTAGACATAGTTTGTGTGTATATACACACTGTCTGTCTGTCTGTCTGTCTGTCTGTCTGTCTGTCTGTCTGTCTGTCTGTCTGTCTGTCTGTCTGTCTGTCTGTCTGTCTGTCTGTCTGTGTATATATATATATATAAAAGTCACTGGTTGTGTGTTGAGGGGGAATTACAGTGAGTTAAGAAGTCTGATTGCAAGTTATCAAATTAAACTTTATTTTTTGGACCCAGGGCCTCAATTCCCTCTTTGTGTGGGGACAGCGCATCTGACGAGCAGCAACAGCCCATCAAGCGACGGAGGATGCTGGGACCAGGAGAACAACAGAGGTTGGCTATAGAGGTAAGTTGTGATGTAATTGTCAGTGTTTCCCCCTAGAACTATTTTCAGGCCTGGTAGTATGTAGCCAAAACCCTGAACAATCAGCACCTTGGTAATCATATACTTGAGTTGGACATAGGCATGTGTCAGTCAGGATCACTTGCATCAAAATAGCTTAATTGCAAATTAAAGCTGATGATGTATCTTTTACAGGTATGTGATACCATCCTGAGTCATGCCAAAGAGAGGTTCTCCTTCACCCAGCACCTCATCAGCGCAACACTATTGCACGGAGAGTTGTTCCCACAACACAGTGTGAAGTTCCCCGATACAGCGCTTGAAACAACCGTGGAGGCGTACCCCATGTTGAACAAGGCCAAGCTCAAAACCGAACTGTCCCTCATCTATGAGAACAGTGAGTTCAAGGCTTGTAGTGGTGCAGTGCCCCTGTACCAGTTCTTCATGGAGAACAACCTTCAGAGCACTTTCACAGAGACTGCCAGCCTCCTCAAGATCCTCATCACCACACCCATGACAACTGCTGAGTCAGAAAGGTGCTTCTCTACACTGAAAAGGATCAAGACCTTCCTGAGAAACAGCATGACACAGGATCGCCTGAACGCTCTGGCCATGCTCTCCATGGAGAAGAAACTTGTCAGGGACATTCCTGACTTTAATCAAAGGGTCATTGAGAGGTTTGCCACTCAGAAGGACAGACGGGCAAAATTCCTGTACAAATAAGATGACAGACACACACACACAGAGCAGCTCTGGCCGCATGTTTCTTTGTATATAGTTGACCTTAGCATAAAAAATCCAGTTATATATGGTACTCTAGAAAGTCTTAATAGTGTCTTTGCTAATATTACTGTATATATGTTGTTTGTATCAATTAATTGTTGCAGTTCTGGAGCACATTAACAATTAGTCACATTTAGTATGATCATAAAATACTGTATGCTATTCTTCCAGTCAAAGGTTTGAGTTCATCCACTTGATATCCATTTCTATATTATACATCCTTTTATACAGTGTAAGATTTCCTATAAACTTTATAATAATTTCATGTTATTGTCCACTTTCCACTTTGTTCTGACAGCATGCCTGTTGCGTTGCCTGTTTACTACCAATGGTGAAAAGTTCACTTTAAATGCAAATGAAAGGCTTGGGTTTGTGTAATATGTTTTTGTGTAAGAATGCCTCAACTTTTTAATATTGGCATTAAATAATTACTGAATGTTTCACTGAGCACTGCTGTCCTGCAGTTTGTGTTAAAATATATCGCGATGGTTACAGGAAAAAAAAAGTATGGCACAGCCCCACCGAGAATATTTTTCACCAGCCGCCACTGGAAGTGGAAACATCTAGGAGCAACAACGGCTCAGCCGTGAAGTGGTAGGCCACACAAGCCCACAGAACGGGACCACCGAGTGCTGAAGCATGTAGTGCGTAAAAATGGCTTGTCCTCGGATGCAACACTCACTACTGAGTTCCAAACTGCCTCTGGAAGCAACGTCAGTACAATAATTGTTCGTTGGGAGCTTCATGAAATGGGTTTCCATGGACGAGCAGTCGCACACAAGCCTAAGATCACCATGCGCAATGCCAAGCGTCGGCTGGAGTGGTGTAAAACTCGCCGCCATTGGACTCTGGAGCAGTGGAAAGCGTTCTCGAAAGTGATTACTTGGAACGGCGACTGCGAGCCAGGCCTAATCACCCAACATCAGTGCCCGACCTCACTAATGCTCGTGGCTGAATGGAAGCAAGTCCCCGCAGCAATGTTCCAACATCTAGTTGAAAGCCTTCCCAGAAGAGTGGAGGCTGTTATAGCAGCAAAGGGAGGACCAACTACATATAAATGGCCATGATTTTGGAATTACATTTCTTTTTCATTATGGGGTATTGTGTGTAGATTGATGAGGATAAAATAAAAATAAAATTTGAATAAGGCTGCAACGTAACAAAATGTGGAAATAGTGAAGGAGTATGAATACTTTCCAAATGCACTGTATATATCACATTTATATGTTTTCTACCAAGTCCTCCAACCATGGAGAGGGAGTAGGGGCATAATAAAACACACTCCATATATATATAAAAAGGGATCAGAAATCTCCAAATAACGTTATTCGATAGTCCCCAAAAAATGAATCCACTCCCTCCATCTGTGACGCACTTCTGTGTAAATCAAAAGCACTTCTGAATCCGGAAAATTCACTATTGATTGCATACTGGCCTTTGAGCAAAACAATCAAATCCGCAAACCCAGTCAAAAAATAGCATCATCCTTGTGCCACAATTCATGTGCTAGGCCTAATTCACATCAAAAGGGCTTTGTCTGACTTAGCAGATATTGTCCAAACCGTCAATCTAATTGGACAAGGAGAGATACATCTGCAACAGTATTTTTTGAGAATTTTTGCTTGTCAGGATTTAAAGCTTAATACATCAAAGGGATGAAAAAAAGCCTTTTTAAATCATCCCAATTTAAGACTGAGGCCAGAGAAAACAGATATCACCTCACCTTGAAAACGGGTGTACCCAAGTGTTTCACCACGGAAACTTTTGTAATACTTCACTCCATAGACGATGATTGGTCTACGAAGAATGTGTGCAAGAACAAAAATATGAGTCTGCTCCAGGCTGGCTCCAGGCTGCAGAGAGAAACAACACAAAGAGAGAGGCAAGTTAAACTACCTTTGTAGAGTATAGCTGCAAAATATACTATTAGGATTTGAGCCATTACTTATTATTAGCTGTTAGGCTAGCCTGATTGTACGTACAACCAGCAATACCGTAAAGCAGATTATTTGTTATTGAACACGGAGTATACCAAACATTAAGAACACCTTCCTAATATTGAATTGCGCCCCCCACCCCACCCCACCTCAGAACAGCCTCAATTCGTCGGGGCATGGACTCTACAAGGTGTCGAAAGCAGGGATGCTGGCCCATGTTGACTCCAATACTACCCACAGTTGTGTCAAGTTGGCTGGATGTCCTTTGGGTAGTGGACCATTCTTGATACACACGGGAAACTGTTGTGCGTGAAAAACCCAGCAGCGTTGCAGTTCTTGACAAAACCGGTGCGCCTGGCACATACTACCATACAAAGGCACTTACATTTTTTGTCTTGCCCATTCACCCGCTGAATGGCACACATACACAATCTGTCTCTCAATGGCCTTTAACTTGTCTCCTCCCGTTCATCTGCACTGATTGAAGTGGACTTAACAAGTGACATCAATAAGGGATCATAGCTTTCACCTGGATAACACCTGGTCAGTCTATGTCATGGAAAGAGTATATAATGTTTTGTATACTCAGTCATGTCTTGATACTATAAACACAATGTGATTCAAGTATTAAAAGAAAACCTTAGGCGAATGCCTCTGTTGGTTGTTTGTCTTAAATTAAATACAGGAATATTGAATGTTGCACAACAGTGGATGCTCTCATACCTCCTCCTTTCCTATATATGGTCAGAGCAGTATGTCATTGCATAATTCATGGGCCGTAATTGCATGTTACAGTACACTGCTGATCCCAAGTCCTGCCACCTAAAAGGCTTAAAGCTTTTTGTCCGTATGCATAAGGAAATGTGTGTGTGTACCTGGCTGGCCAGTGAGAGGATGAAAGCCCAGTCTTCCTGCCACTGTTCCTCCCTGAGTGAGAAGTGCAAGCCGAAGCTCTGGGAGTACCACGACTCCCACTCCTTCCAGCGCGTGTAGAACCTACAGACAGAACACACACGTCAGTGGCCCTGTATCAACTCCCTGTGGAAAAGGTCAAGTGAGTGTTACTCACCAAATGCTTTAAACCCTTTTGCAATGAGAAGGTTCTCCTTTTTCCAAATTATATGACTGATTTACATAAATAAACACACAGCCTTCTCATCCTATCCCAGTCCCCAACCAGTTACACGCCCCAGACCCAGGCCTCACCAGTGGGAGCAGTCGTGCAGGCTGTCGTGAAGGGTCTTGCGGAGGACAGAGTCCTTGTCATAGATGCCCCAGGTGGCCTGCAGTACTGAGTCTAACAGGCAGTCCCCGGCCGTGCGGTTCCACAGGGCATACAGCCTGCTGTCCAACCGCGTTCCTAGCTCTATAGACCAGTTGATGATGGGAGACTCCTCCTCCAGCTCTGAGAGGGAGAGAGAGAGGGAGAGAATGGAAAGTGAGGTTTGAAAGGGCCATGGGGTCATTTTCAAAATGAACCACTCTTTTGTTTTACATGGTGTGCAGACTTCAGTTCCAGCCCAGCACTAATATCCCTGTTCAATGAATCAAGTCGATGAGCATATCGATTGGGGACCACTCGTGTAAAGTATAGGTAAGTACAGTGATGGCAAGGAGGACACCATCGGGATGCTGGGCTTGCACTATGTATGAAGACAAGGTGCGGATGGAGGGGCCACCATGATGCTACATGACAGGTGGTGGCACTAGAAAGGTTAGTGCTATCCGGGATCCATAACCCTTCCCTAACCTTAACCATTTAACATTTCAACTTCAATGGGGTAGGGACGTCCCAAGCTCCCGGACAGCAAGGACCACACTGGAAAGGACCCCGGCATGATGATATTTCACTGGAAAGGACCTCGGCATGATGATATTTCACTGGAAAGGACCTCGGCATGATGATATTTCACTGGAAAGGACCCCGGCATGATGATATTTCACTGGAAAGGACCCCGGCATGATGATATTTCACTGGAAAGGACCCCGGCATGATGATATTTCAAGGCGGGGATCAAGTGTGATGATAAATGATACACCTACCTTCACAGCTTCGTCATAGCAGAGAAAGAGACAGGAGAGCATAGAGGTGGCTATGGTGACTTTAGTCACCTTGTCTTCCATACACTGGCTTGTTACCCTTGGTGTGCCGCAAACTGTGGGGAGCTAAACAGGTCACAAGACACCCTAGAGAGAGTGAGCAATCAGTGTGGAACCCATTGATGGTGTGTGTGGCCCTGGAGGAAGTAGTCATTCAGTAAAGGATCAGGGAAATCCTAAAACTCAATTAGCCTGATTAGCACAGACGCAAGCACACATGATAAGGGCAGGTCAACAGACAGGAAAGCAGGCAGGGAACAGACCAGTAATATAACTCTGTACAGCAGCCTTCTCATTTAGTAGAGGGGATAGGAAGCTAAACAGATGCCCGCCACTGTTGACTATGACAAGGCTCACACGCGATTGTTAAACAGCCATCACTAGCACATTAGAGGCTGCTGCCTATAGACATAAACTAGAAATCACTGGCCACTTTAAGAAATGGAACACTAGCCACTTTAATAATGTTTACATATCTTGCATTACTCATCTCATATGAATATACTGTATTCTATACTATTCTACTGTATCTTAGTCCATGCCGCTGTGACATCGCTCATCCAATTACAGTGGGGGAAAAAAGTATTTAGTCAGCCACCAATTGTGCAAGTTCTCCCACTTAAAAAGATGAGAGGATGTAATTTTCATCATAGGTACACGTCAACTATGACAGACAAATTGAGAAAATGTTTTCCAGAAAATCACATTGTAGGATTTTTAATGAATTTATTTGCAAATTATGGTGGAAAATAAGTATTTGGTCACCTACAAACAAGCAAGATTTCTGGCTCTCACAGACCTGTAACTTCTTCTTTAAGAGGCTCCTCTGTCCTCCACTCGTTACCTGTATTAATGGCACCTGTTTGAACTTGTTATCAGTATAAAAGACACCTGTCCACAACCTCAAACAGTCACACTCCAAACTCCACTATGGCCAAGACCAAAGAGCTGTCAAAGGACACCAGAAACAAAATTGTAGACCTGCACTGGCTGGGAAGACTGAATCTGCAATAGGTAAGCAGCTTGGTTTGAAGAAATCAACTGTGGGAGCAATTATTAGGAAATGGAAGACATACAAGACCACTGATCTGGGGCTCCACGCAAGATCTCACCCCGTGGGGTCAAAATGATCACGAGAACGGTGAGCAAAAATCCCAGAACCACACGGGGGGACCTAGTGAATGACCTGCAGAGAGCTGGGACCAAAGTAACAAAGCCTACCATCAGTAACACACTACGCCGCCAGGGACTCAAATCCTGCAGTGCGAGACGTGTCCCCCTGCTTAAGCCAGTACATGTCCAGGCCCGTCTGAAGTTTGCTAGAGTGCATTTGGATGATCCAGAAGAGGATTGGGAGAATGTCATATGGTCAGATGAAACCAAAATAGAAATTTTTGGTAAAAACTCAACTCGTCGTGTTTGGAGGACAAAGAATGCTGAGTTGCATCCAAAAGAACACCATACCTACTGTGAAGCATGGGGGTGGAAACATCATGCTTTGGGGCTGTTTTTCTGCAAAGGGACCAGGACGACTGATCCGTGTAAAGGAAAGAATGAATGGGGCCATGTATCGTGAGATTTTGAGTTAAAACCTCCTTCCATCAGCAAGGGCATTGAAGATGAAACGTGGCTGGGTCTTTCAGCATGACAATGATCCCAAACACACCGCCCGGGCAACGAAGGAGTGGCTTCGTAAGAAGCATTTCAAGGTCCTGGAGTGGCCTAGCCAGTCTCCAGATCTCAACCCCATAGAAAATCTTTGGAGGGAGTTGAAAGTCCGTGTTGCCCAGCGACAGCCCCAAAACATCACTGCTCTAGAGGAGATATGCATGGAGGAATGGGCCAAAATACCAGCAACAGTGTGTGAAAACCTTGTGAAGACTTACAGAAAACGTTTGACCTGTGTCATTGCCAACAAAGGGTATATAACAAAGTATTGAGAAACTTTTGTTATTGACCAAATACTTATTTTCCACCATAATTTGCAAATAAATTCATTAAAAATCCTACAATGTGATTTTCTGGATTTTTTTCTCTCATTTTGTCTGTCATAGTTGACGTGTACCTATGATGAAAATTACAGTCCTCTCATCTTTTTAAGTGGGAGAACTTGCACAATTGGTGGCTGACTAAATACTTTTTGTATATATCCTTAATTAATTCCTTACTAGATTTGTGTGTATTGGGTACATGTTGTGAAATGGTTAGATATTACTTGTTAGATATTACTGCACAGTCGGAGCTAGAAGCACATGCACTTCTCTACACCCGCAATAACATCTGCTAAACACGTGTATGTGACCAATACAATTTGATTCAGTAAAATAGTGGTATTATAAGTTACTGAAATTCATATGAAGTCAGTCAATATTTCACCTTTCTGTACATCTCGGTCCAGCACTTCGTCGAACAGTTTCTCCTGAACTGTTGGGGGCAAGTCCTCGATATCTGTAGACAAAAACACACACAGAGTGGCACTCAATGGGTTTGAGAGACACACAACACAAGGAAGACATGATACAGTTCCAAAAACTTCACAAAAAAGGGCAAGTTAGAGAGCAAGTATTTATTTGACAACAGTGAAATTAAGTTTGGGGCTTAGAGAAGAAAGTGCATCTGTCTTGACCTCTTGATCTGCACGCGCCTTAAAAATCAAGCCAGGCTGAAGTGATTAGGGTTTAATGCCCTGGAGGTTTGCAGGAGTCAAAGCTGCACTGTAACAAACTGACATCTCTGCAAGCTACAGACATCATATTTGACTGTGTTTTCTACTCAATGTCAAACCATGTTTTGTTGCGTGTGTCCTTTTCTTTCCACAATAGAGCTATAGGGCTACGTTGTGTGCTTGGAGCCCTTGACAACAGTACTGCCTATTCTTCAGTTGTGCAAATGAACAGCAAGGCTTCTATAGTGGCCAGAAGCCAATACATGCTCCCCCAAATACTCTGCATAACCAGACGTCACTGCTTACCAGCCCTGCGGCTCTTATTTTCAACCACAATGTAGGCTATTTCTCAAGGAGGAATTCAACCTTGCTTACCCTAGCAAGAACTTGGTACATATGAAAATACAATTTCGCTTTGCAGGGCTCCAGACTAACTTTTTCCCCTGGTGGCACTGGTTAAGTTGGTGGCGCCAGCCTATGATTTGGTTGCACCAAAATGTTGCCGCAGTGTCACACAATAGAAACAATTTGCAGTCATTTTAGAAAGTCATTCAGTGCTACTGAAATCGCATGATCCAAGAAATACATTTTTTCATCTAACATGTCCAAATGGGAAAGCATAATTCTATTTATTGTGCAACCTAAACCAGCGATTGTCATTAATTTTGGGTTGACATTTATGCTATTGTTACATTTTACCCTCAAAATAGTGCTCCATCATTTCAATAGAGATTCATTTGCTTACATTTATTTTGTGTACTAATATCACATAGGCTAATTCATTTGGGGCTAAATCACCATCTGAGGAAGTGGAAACAAAACTCATTAAGCTAAATATAATAGGCTGCTAGTTAGAAATGTAACTGATTACTCTAACGGTAAATGTAGCCTTATGTTTAAAAAACATTTCAGCATACTACCCAATGATGTCTATAGGCCTCAAACTGTCGGCGCACGCTTCGTGCTCTCTGTATCTCAAAGCAGTACAAAGTTACTTTGGTTGTAAAACGGTGCCAATACGCTCAATATTGAGCGTTGAGAAATAAATGTAAAACCTACAGAAAGTTGAGACCATCTCTTCAACTGTCACAACAGTTGCTTTAAAGAACTGTTGCTTTTTACCACAATTGCATATTTTTCTCTTTAGCCCTGTGCTTCCCAAACTTTTTCCACTCATGCCCCCCTTTTCTTATGGGGGAACATAGCGAGACAGTCAGATTGACTCCAGTAGAGAAAAAGGCTTGAGCCTACTGCCTGAGATTCAGAGAAATATTAGGCCCTTCTCCAATTCTGTAGCCTACTAGAAACCAGTCATTGCAAGGTTTGTAATACTGCCACAGTTGTCTTTCAACTCTTAAAATTGAGTGCAATATAACCGTTACCAATTATCACTCGTATTGAACAGCCCTCATTTTCTTTATCATTCTTATTCGTGCTTATGAATTTACCATGTTTAAGTTGACTGCACCATTTGATTTGTTCCAAGTTAAGTCATAGATTTGAGGGTTTGTTTATTGGGAGAGAGAAGAGGAAGAGATCAGGCAGAGCAGCATGCTGCGAGAGGCGCGAGTCAACCAAAAGTCTGTTAGAACTCATGAGTGGAGATTTTTATTTATTTATTTTATTTTAAAAATCAGGAGCTACCAATTATGTTGTGGAGAGTAGCAATTGACAGCTGCAATGTTATGCATTTAATGTAAATAAAAATACAAATCCCAAGATTTAATTGTGAGTAGAAAGCCATCTTATTTTTCTCTAGTAGATGTTATAATTAAGTTGTGTTTGTTCATCTTCCCCTACCGCTCCGCGCTCCAACAGCCACCCCTCAGTTTACCAAACACTGCTTTAGCCTAACAATACCCTAAGCTGGTGCCAGGGAAAGCATTTTACTCAGAGTAGTTGGAAACAACCACACCATTATGCAATTCCCGCACACCAACAAAACATGCATTCTACCATCATATAAGACAAGAAGCTTTAGTGTAGAAGAGCAGCAAAACAGTTCATACCACATAACTACACACAGTAACTAGGCTGTTGGTAGTGTATAATAGGTCAGAGGGAGGCTGACCTGCTGGCAGCGTGAAGGTGACCAGGTCAGTGAGGAAGTAGCAGGTGAAGTCTCCCTTGCGCTGGTGCAGGGAGGCAGCCACCTCCCGACGGATCTGCTCCGTCAGCTCAGGGCACACCATGGCTGGGATACACTTAGCTGCCTGCTGGGACACCTAGACACAGAGAGACAGAGAATGTGACACAGGAATGATAAAACCGTCTCCTACTGCAAATACAACCTAGGGAGCATGAAACCCAGATGAAACATTCCGAGTGTTGCAGAGAGAAATGTAATGAGTAAAACAGATTCAATTCCCTGATCTGATTCCCTGTTCAATCATATCTGTTCAACACAATCCATTTCTATCTGAACGTTCTGGAACACTGCACCCTTCTGAGCAGGCCCCAGGTAGACCCTGCCCCTTCCCTCCTTAGGGGACACATTCCTGCCGGTCCTTCCAGGGTTCACCCCCTTACTAATCCTGGGATAAGAGAGCCTACCGTCAATAAAACACATCCCACCCACTATGTCCTCTACCAGTAGATAGAGGTGAACAGAGCTCATCTGTGGTATCGTCAAAACAATGATGAATATAAACTAACTCAACCTGGAGATGGAGTGACTACATACCGGACGGTACATTTAAATCGAGCGGAACTGGTACAGTAGAATAAAGACAACAGTCCTTGACCTGTACCAATATGCTAATACATTGGCAGAGCCTGTGTATTGTCCTGACCTCAGTGAGGAGCACGGCCAGCATGTCCTGCCTCTGGAAGCGGATGGCCAGGTGGACCAGGGTGAAGCCGTCATCGAAGGCCGATGACCGGTTGAGGAGACGCACCTCGTCCGACGTCAGCTGCCTGGCGATGTCCCCCCCTGATGACTTATAGGCCTCTACTGCAGCCAGATCCCCCTCTACCACACCTGCAGAAAGAGAGAAGTGGGGGGGGGGGGCATCAGTGAGCAGGTAAACAGACATGTTAGGCTACATAGTACACAAACACTAAATAAACTTGTTGTTAAAAGTGTCAAATAGAGTACATTAATGCAGTATGTTGGACAAGGTGGAAATTCTTATTTAGTTTACCATCCCAATAATTCGTAGGCTATTCCTTACCAAAACCACACAGTGTTCAGACCTTCACTTTTTGTTACGTTAAAGCCTATTTTTTATTATCCTCAATCTACACACAATACCCCATAATGACAAAGCAAAAACAGGTTTAGATTTCTTTGCAAATTTATTTTAAAAAACTGAAATACGTTAAGTGTTCAGACCCTTTGCTATGAGACTCGAAATTGACCTCAGGTGCATCCTGTTTCCATTGATCATCCTTGAGATGTTTCTACAACTTGGAGTCCACCTGTTGTAAATTCAATTGATTGGACATGATTTGGAAAGGCACACACGCACACACACACACACACACACACACACACACCTGTCTATATAAGGTCCCACATTTGACATTGCATGTCAGAGCAAAAACCATGCCATGAGGTCGAAGGAGTTGTCCGTAGAGCTCCGAGACAGGATTGTGTCGAGGCACAGATCTGGGGAAGGGTACAAAAAAAATGTCTGCAGCATTGAAGGTCCCCAAGAACACAGTGGCCGCCATCATTCTTAAAATGGAAGAAGTTTGGAACCACCAAGACTCTTCCTAGAGCTGGCTGCCCGGCCAAACTGAGCAATCGGGGAGAAGGGCCTTGGTCAGGGAGGTGACCAAGAACCCGATGGTAACTCTGACAGAGCTCCAGAATTCCTCTGTAGAGATGGGAGAATCTTCCAGAAGGACAACCATCTCTGCAGCACTCCACCAATCAGGCCTTTATGGTAGAGTGGCCAGACGGAAGCCACTCCTCAGTAAAAGGCACATGACAGCGCGCTTGGAGTTTGCCAAAAGGCACCTAAAGGACTCTGACCATGAAAAACAAGATTCTCTGGTCTGATGAAAGCAAGATTTATGTTTTTCAGCGGCAGGGACTGGGAGACTAGTCAGGGTTGAGGGAAAGACGAACGGAGCAAAGTACAGAGAGATCCTTGATGAAAACCTGCTCCAGAGCACTCAGGAACTTAGACTGGGGTGAAGGTTCACCTTCTAACAGGACAACGACCCTAAGCACACAGCCAAAACAAACCAGGAGTGGCTTTGGGACAAGTCTCTGAATGTCCTTGAGTGGCCCAGCCAGAGCCCGGACTTGAACCCGATCGAACATCTCTGGAGATGATCTGCAGAGAAAAATGGGAGAAACTCCCCAAATACAGTTGAGCCAAGAAGACTCGAGGTTGTAATCGCTGCCATAGGTGCTTCAACAAAGTACTGAGTAAAGGGTCTGAATACTTATGCAAATGTAATTTTATTTATTTATTTTTTATACATTTGCAAAAAATTCTAAAAACCTGTTTTTGCTTTGTCATTATGTGGTAGTGTGTAGATCAATGAAGAAAAAAAACAATTTAATCAATTTTAGAATAAGGCAGTAACGTAACAAAATGTGGAAAAAAAGTCAAGGGGTCTGAATACTTTCCGAATGCACTGCAGGTACCAGGGTAGTTTTACTACTACTAAAGTACTGAAACAAAACCACCACTTGAAAAATAAAACTCAACACTATAATGTGTGTGGGAAGATCAAAGTAGAGAACATTTCCAGTTCTACTACCAGCCACCCATCATTTCTGTTCTGATTTCTGGAATACCCATGTAGCAGTCTCTGGCGCATTACACAACATTACTCCCTGGCTAAACATTGTTCTACACTCTACAAAAGGGCCACACACAATGCTTTGCAGCATAATCAGTGTGTGTGTGTGATCGTGCGTGCATGCGCTTTCCAGCTGCAGTAAAAAGTAGAAATATGGAGAAAGGAACAAAGAGAAAAAGTGAGTAGGAGGACAAAGGAATAGAGAGGGAGAGAGCGCTCAGATAGACGGGATCACAACCACTTCTCACAGCAGTCCATTAGTTTGGGTGTGCCTGCCTGCATGCCTGCACAGTCAAGTGTAGCACTCACACACACCCTATACCACACATTCACAAAACATCAAAGGAAATGGATACAAAATAGTTGCTCTATACTAGGAAGGGTGGAGAACGTTGACAAATATTGAAGATAGAAAATGAATGAACGTGCTAATTTTATCCACAGAAAATGGGTGAAAGGGCCTATTTAATCCATTTACATCCATTTTTTTATGTTGTAAATTAGTATCAGCGATCAAGGTAGACCCAGGTGCAGATCAGTAGGCCTACACTACACAGAGGACACTCCTACAAGCTCCTACAATATTGTCATAACCACCACATTAAAAGGGGCAATCAGCAGATGCTACATCCATTTTTGGACATTGATATGTACACATTCATTCTTGAACAATATAACTTATAAATGCCTCATGAGCTTAGTTCCAACTGTTGTACCCCCATCAGAACCCCGAATATGCTTGTTTTTACTCCAATGTTTGTAAACAAAGTAAATGTAAACAAACACTATATAGCCTCAAAACTAGTGATGGGGGGGGGGGGGGGGAGCAGGTTCACTACAGTTAATGATTTGTAAAAAATAAAAATAAATAATGCATCTATAGCCTGTTTTCCATCTTCTTCTTTTTTTAAAGTGAGCCTACATGTTTTCAGCACTTTTATTTCTTGAAACAGGGATCCGGTAGCTTTTTACCGAAACAGGGTCAGGGCGAATTGCTTTGTTATGGTTTTTACTGCTGATTGCTGCTTTTATTTTTAAACACCCACACCAGTAGAAATCCACTTTTCTGACTAATGAAGATAGTTCACTCAGACCGTTTAAACATAAAAAATAAGAAATTCTGTTTTGACCACGCTCCACTGCTTTGATTGGTGTATCTAGAAATCACAAGTCTTTCCTATAATGAAAAGGCACCTGCAAAAGAAGATTCCACAAACTTGTTTATCTATTTTATGCGGTTGTTACGTCAAGTATTGGTGTTTCGTGTTGGATGCGCTCAGGGTGTTGTTACAGATCATTTGCGGCGTGCATCATGAGCAAAGTCATTGTAGCCTATTATCATTTCACTTCCCCTAGCTGTGAGAACCACACTATCCATATTACCAGATCTTCATCTTATTCTTTCTGTTTCTATGGCGGATTCGCGGCCACAATTTATGGAAGATGCCAAACTTTGAAGATAGTCAAAGATACTTGTTTCCCCTATCCATCTGTGGCGAAGTTGTCCCTACATGCTCATGACAAATCCAGCTCCAGCCATAGCCTAGCTAGCTAATCTTTTGAATAAGGTGTATCAACAACAGATAGTAGTTAGCTAGATAAGGTTAGCATGCTAGCTAGCTACGCTGACAGCCATCAGTGCCCTACTTGTTGTTATATCTCCACTCCACATGGAAAATCACCCACAATGTTCCCACCCCCAATTCATGAATATGTATTAGCAGCCTGCGTCATTCTTCGGAGGTGGAACGTTTAAGGACAATTTCTGCTATAGGACAGGAATTACGTTGAAATAGGGGCAGCATTGCCCTCTGGTGGGGGCCTTTAACGTGTTAGGTATGCAAATAATGTTGTTTAAAATTTCACCTGTCACACAGCATATAGGCTTAACACTTTCATTTATTTTCTCCAGTCCTCTCCTCTCCTCATTTTCTCACCTGTGTGTCCATATCTCCATTTGACAGAGCCAGGAGACACTTATCAGGATACCAATTTTGATTGAATTTCCCCTTACGGTAACCCAAATCAATTGAATAAACTAAAGGCTGGCCGTAAGCCTGCGTACATAGTGGAGTCGGTGTGATTGATCCCAGGGCAGCAGAAAGCCAGGGCCCTCAATGGCCTGTCAAGGAAGAAGTGCAGACAGAGGCCCAGATGAACAGTGAGCATCAGCAACAGGCCTGTGTGTTACTGTAGCTCCCAATTGTTTTGACAGATTTCCAACTGGCAGTGTCGGCACTACTTCACAGGTCGTCTGCCACAACAGTAGCTTGTGACAACCAGTGACCCACAACAGGTTAGCACTTCAGAATAGAGGTGGCAACATGCCAGCTACAGCACACTTCGTGCCCGTTTACGACTACATGGCCTAATTACTGATAGTATGCATGATATAGCCTAGGGTAGGTAGAGTGCGCCTCAGGGCTAGGACTACGCAACCTAAGAAAATAGATTTGATCTATAGCTGATTGCATACAGTAACTATGGCACAACTGGACCGAGATTTAGGTCAATAGGGAAGCTAATATCTGCAGGGTTTCAGCAGATGTAAGGAGAAGTCTCCTTGTGCATCTTCACCTGCTTAGTGCTTACTTGGAATAGGTTAATCAAAATAAGATGTCAACATAGAAAAGGCCTTTCATATAGCCTAGGCCTAGATAGACTTTCTTCCAAACAGGTTATGGCATTGATACTTTTGACACCTTGAGCACATGAAAGTCTTCACATAATATAATATAATAATAATATAATATAATAATTTAACATAATGTAATGTTTTGAAAAGGTTGGGATTACCCAAAGAAGTTCTTCCTGTGAAAATGATTCCTGTTCAATCATATCACAATAATCTCCAATTATATCACATTTCAGGTTGTGTTGCAGCCAAGTCATGTAGCCTAGTTGATGTGCTAGCTAAGCCCAGGGGTATTCAACTACAGTCCTTGAGGGCTGAAGTGTCTCGATGGGTTCTCTCTCCTTTGTTCAATTGATCTACCCACTCACACACTCAAACAAGACTACTATTGTAGCCTCTGTGCATTCACTCCTTTTATCAATTCATTTTAGGTGTCAAACAGAGAAGCAGACACACATCCATATGTAAAACAGAAACTTGCAGACACACAAACACATACAGGTTGTCAGAGAAACCCTCCCGAAGCATAAGGACCACTTGCAGCCAGCATGGTTTGTTCAGGCAATGAAAGAGTCTCTCTAGTAAAATATGAAAAACTCAGCTAATAAACCTGCTGTGGCACAAGACAGTGGGCCATAAAGCAGACAAGCATTCCCTCAGTCAAGCAGACTGCCCTTAATACAAATGGGCATCTTGTCTTTCAGAGAGCACACGTCCTTAAATCGCTAGCTTCTGGAGAGTACAGGCAACATGACTAAAACTTCTCCTGGATATGCAATTTTTATACAGGGTACTTCCCACAATGCATTGTTAATGCCACCATGTTACAGATTTGGCTTTGTTTTAAATCAATATTCAAAGGCATAGCCTGCATAATTATATGACAGATTTTACTGAGAAAAGTGGCACTTGCTGTTTCCGATAAGGATCATTGTGAAAAATACTACCTAGAAACTAATGTAGGCTCGTTTGTGATTCATTACGTCCAGCTTGTTTAAACAACTAAACATGTATACAAATAACATGTAAGGCTACACCAGTAGAGCGTACGTAACAGGGCTCCGGTCGTGCGAACAGCAGGCTGAAGGTCATCTTCGATGTGAACTCCTGTTTATTTTTGACTTGTGCACCAGTCAGATATTTTAAGTGCAGGGCCTGCGGGCTACTAGGCTGTCTAACGCCACACACTGTGGCCACTGTTTACCAGCTCCTGGGACTGAAGGGTGTGTGTGTGGCTGCGTGTGTTGACAGTGAGGGTTCCCCTGCAATACACACATTACACGCTGGCCTCCCCTTCACAGTAATAAGTGGGTTCCCCTCAGACACTGGGGATAATACTTCGCTATGGAAAGTCCTATGTATTAGTGGACAAACTGAGTGGGAGGGGCAACACTACTATAAACAGTAGGGAGGAAGCTAGCTATCCCATGGAATCCTCTCTGCCATGTACAGTGAGGGGAAAAAGTATTTGATCCCCTGCTGATTTTGTACGTTTGCCCACTGACAAAGAAATGATCAGTCTATAATTTGAATGGTAGGTTTATTTGAACAGTGAGAGACAGAATAACAACAACAAAATCCAGAAAAACGCATGTCAAAATTTTTATAAATTGATTTGCATTTTAATGAGGGAAATAAGTATTTGACCCCTCTGCAAAACATGACTTAGTACTTGGTGGCAAAACCCTTGTTGGCAATCACAGAGGTCAGACGTTTCTTGTAGTTGGCCACCAGGTTTGCACACATCTCAGGAGGGATTTTGTCCCACTCTTCTTTGCAGATCTTCTCCAAGTCATTAAGGTTTCGAGGCTGACATTTGGCAACTCGAACCTTCAGCTCCCTCCACAGATTTTCTATGGGATTAAGGTCTGGAGACTGGCCACGCCACTCCAGGACCTTAATGTGCTTCTTCTTGAGCCACTCCTTTGTTGCCTTGGCCGTGTGTTTTGGGTCATTGTCATGCTGGAATACCCATCCACGACCCATTGTCAATGCCCTGGCTGAGGGAAGGAGGTTCTCACCCAAGATTTGACAGTACATGGCCCCGTCCATCGTCCCTTTGATGCGGTGAAGTTGTCCTGTCCCCTTAGCAGAAAAACACCCCCAAAGCATAATGTTTCCACCTCCATGTTTGACGGTGGGGATGGTGTTCTTGGGGTCATAGGCAGCATTCCTCCTCCTCCAAACACGGCGAGTTGAGTTGATGCCAAAGAGCTCCATTCTGGTCTCATCTGACCACAACACTTTCACCCAGTTCTCACTTCAGACGGGCATGTATATGTGCTTTCTTGAGCATGGGGGCCCTTGCGGGCGCTGCAGGATTTCAGTCCTTCACGGCGTAGTGTGTTACCAATTGTTTTCTTGGTGACTATGGTCCCACCTGCCTTGAGATCATTGACAAGATCCTCCCATGTAGTTCTGGGCTGATTCCTCACCGTTCTCATGATCATTGCAACTCCACGAGGTGAGATCTTGCATGGAGCCCCAGGCCGAGGGAGATTGACAGTTATTTTGTGTTTCTTCCATTTGCGAATAATCGCACCAACTGTTGTCACCTTCTCACCAAGCTGCTTGGCGATGGTCTTGTAGCCCATTCCAGCCTTGTGTACGTCTACAATCTTGTCCCTGACATCCTTGGAGAGCTCTATGGTCTTGGCCATGGTGGAGAGTTTGGAATCTGATTGATTGCTTCTGTGGACAGGTGTCTTTTATACAGGTAACAAGCTGAGATTAGGAGCACTCCCTTTAAGAGTGTGCTCCTAATCTCAGCTCATTACCTGTATAAAAGACACCTGGGAGCCAGAAATCTTTCTGATTGAGAGGAGGTCAAATACTTATTTCCCTCATTAAAATGAAAATCAATTTATAACATTTCTGACATGCGTTTTTCTGGATTTTTTTGTTGTTATTCTGTCTCTCACTGTTCAAATAAACCTACCATTAAAATTATAGACTGATCATTTCTTTGTCAATGGGTAAACGTACAAAATCAGCAGGGGATCAAATACTTTTTTCCCTCACTGTAGTCCAGACAGCAGCAGTGGAATCCACTCAGTCACCATTAACTTCAAGGGGCAGTGTGGCTGTCTGGACTAGCCCTTGATTCAAAGCTTCAAGCGACACCTTCTGAAAGGGAGAGCAGAGTATCCTCTTCACTCATCACACAGACTACCTAGACTGTGCCTGACAGAGGCTGTGGGATAGATACAGTGGTCTCGCACATGCTGTTCAGTCTAGCAAACGAGAATTATCTGTCAGGGGGAAGGATGGGAAGTGAACCTTTAGCCTCTGGTTGAGTTCCTGCCTGACTACACTGCATTGCATCAACCAATGGTTGTGTGCCACGTCAGACTTTAGTCAAGAACCAGATTCCTATATCATATTATGTGGTTAGCTGATATGGTAAATACCTAGCCAGGTATTGTAAGATCTGGTATGCGTCTGCACTGTAGTCGGACAGGAATTCAACCTCTGGCTCCAGTCAACACAGCACAGCAGTTCCCAACTGTTCATCCATCCACCCACTCAGCTTGCACAGGCTGCTGCCTCTCCTCTCACAGCATGAGCAGGGAAGCTGTTAACTCCCTGCATAAAAAGTATGCTATACAAGACTTGCAGCCTTAAATTATTGCTCAGTTGCAACAGAGATATTTTTTTTCCACCCAAGATAAAGAACTCCCATTTCACAACAGAAGTACATAAATACAGCGGAGGTATTTCTCAACCATAATGAGCATCTCATTCTCCACAGCAGGCAATACAGAGAAATAAACAGGGTTGGGAGAGAACCTTGATTCCTTTGCACCCACTCACACATCGACTCACCTGCACAGGCATTGAGAAACAACCAGTCAGTCCTCCTCATCCTGTTCTTTATCTGTTTGAGCCTTTTAAAGTCCACCTGCTGTTCCTCTACGCTCCCCACTCCGGCTCCCGAAGCCAGTTCGATCCTCTGAAAGTCCATTTTAACCTCTGCCTCCCGCTTGGAGGTGGTTGGGGACCTTCTCTGGCCGCCGCTGCACCCCATTACTCCACCGCCGCCCCCTCCCACACTCACATCCCCCCTCCTGTTGTCCCTGTCCTGCTCGTTGAGTATGGAGGGTGGTAGGCTCTCTGGCTCCGAGGCCAGTTCGATGGGTTCTGCCAGGCTATTGGGCCTGGGGTGGTCACACACAACACATTTGCATGCCTTGGGCCAGTTTGCATAAGTGCAGGCGGTGCAGGTCCAGTGCTGGGCGCGGGTGTTGAGGCGGTTGCGGTCGTTATACTCCTCACAGGGGTCGGTAGGGGTGGAGTGGGGTGCGGGCCGGCATCCTGAGCCTGAAGTCTGGGGTGACTCGGTGGGGCTGCGTGGCTGCTGTGCCAGTCCCTGGTGGCGCTGCTCCTGCTGATGTCGCTGGCACAGACACTGGGTGCAGCGGATGGCACGGGGCCAGTTTAGGTAGGTGCAAATGTGGCAGGACCACTTGCTGGAGGGGGTCTCGGGGGCGTCTGCAATGCGGACACGGGGACGGGCGCTGGAGTCCGGGCAGATTAGGAGGCTGGAGCCTCCCTTGGGCGGGCTGTTGCTGTGGCTCAGACTCAGGCTCGGGGGTTCCCACTGGCGGCTGGTTTCCAGGCCGGGGCTGCTCCGGAAGGGCTCCTCAGTGATGATGGCGCCCCCACTGGGCCTCTGGGCACGGCACATGGTGCACTTGATGGCCGAGGGCCAGTTCTTAAACGTGCAGTACTCACAGGCCCACTTGGTACCCAGCTCGGTCATCGTCGCTCCACCGCTGGCAGATGCTGCCGCTGGGAGGGGCTCAGCTCGACAGCGCCACTCAAGGAGATCACACAGGCAAGCAGGATGCTATGGCAACAACAGAAACACAGGAGATGTTGAGGAGGAGGAGCCATACTGGTCTTTGATGATCACAGACAGACTGCACTGTCATCATGCAGAGACACACAGAATTAAGATCACAGATAGACCAAACACATTTAGACTTTAATTGATGTCATGTTTTAAAGGAAATGTTTTAATAAGTAAAAACAAGAACTTCATTAGTTAGGCTAGCTAAGCCTAGTCTATTATTACAGATAGCCAATTACATAAAGTAACAGACCTAATATTAGAGACCTCAAAACTCTTTTAGACACAAAAACTAAGAAAGCTACACTAACACTTGTGGTTCACAACTTCTGGGTCATTGTTGAACACTGGAAAACAGAATGAGCAGGACATGGAAAAACAGCCGTAGCATTCATATCAATCCTGCTCAAACAGCTACAATGATGTGTGCTCTTGACCTGGTACTAATTCTCAGTGCGGTTAATCAAAGCCTGAGGCTCAGTGCAGCTGCACTCACAAAGCAAGGTGCCAAGAGCAGCAGGCCGCAACCCAATCTTCTGCCTCCATGACTCTTAAAACTGACACCGTAAACACATCCAGAGATACAGCGCAAACATGCCAGACAAAAGTGCTGTGTTACCTGGCAGATGAAACCAAACACCAGGCAACACTCAAACTCCTACCAATAATGACCCTTAATGTAGTTGAGATGTTTCCCCCAAAGCTCTGATCTAGGCCCGTAAGGTTTTTATTTGGTTAAACTAAAGGTTTTTAATTGGGGTGTGATAGGTTGGTCCTAGATCAGTGCAAAACAGTCTACTCTGCACTCTCTCAGTGAAGTATTTAAGATGTTTTAAATATTCCTCGACATAAACCAACACATGCAAAGTGCATATAGAGGAATGTTTGCAATTACTCAAGTAATTTAGACAGATAAGTTAGCTATTATCACAACAAAATACTACTCCCTGAGACTTGTTGCAGCACACATTTCAATAGGCTGCAAAACTAGGTTTAGGACTACATTTTAAAGTTGAAACCACCACAGTCATATAGCCTGGATTGGTCCCTGACTGGTTTAAAACAACTCAGTGCATTGAGTCTACTTAGCCATTAAATGTATCAATGTAACATGACAACTTTGCTGCTACATATTGCGTAGGGCGTGTCGAATAAAACATCCAATGATTGTTACTTTGTAACTAACTAGCGACAATGGTAACTAACTATTGTCTTTCTAATCGTAATGAATCTGCCAAAACATTAAATAATTGACTTTGTTTGTTTTCATGTATCAGCGGAAACGACGTTATAATTTGCCTACGTCAATGTACCATACTAGTAATGTTAGCTGGTTGGTTAGCTACCTACATAAGAGGGGACGAGAGTGTGGTCAGTTCGATATCGGTCACCTAGCTAGTTATCTAACTAGCAAGCTGCCATGGCATCTGATACAACTAGCTAGCTAGCTACTCAACTCAGGTATCGGCGCAAAGCTAGTTAACTACTGTACCTAGCAAGTTAGCTAAGTAACCAGTACAGTTCACCATTTACTTTCAATGTAACGACCTAACACACCAATGAGTACAGCAGACGACTCTGTAAGTGTCAATTTGCTTTGCGAAATTCAACACATTCGTGAAAGACAACATTCCTCAACACACAATGTTCTGCCCGTTAGCTTCACTATCTAGAGGCTACTGTATTTGTTTTGACAAGTCAAATTATAGTTAGCTAACAGTAGCCAACTAACGTTAGTAAATATGAAAATAATCTAGCTAACGTTAACTAACGTTACCTATTCAATGTATGATGGATTGCTATAAAGGGTAACGTTATTGCTTATAGCTACATTTCTAAACAATATATCATACAAAAGAGGTGACAAAACTGTGACATGCTAACTACATAACATTTGAACATGGGCGTCTGCTTACCTTTTCCTGTGTTTACACCCCTCTTCCAAGCGCAACCACAACCAACCCGTTCTCGAGCTTGTCCCCCGTTCTATCCACTCGAGCTTTCCCAACGAAACCCAATCCGTATGTCCCAAAGTCAAGCTTTTATTTGGTCAGAAGCCGCATATTTACGTTTCCGTGCTCCGTTTGTGCGGAGCTTCGAGACCTGTGCAATTGCACAACCCCCCACCCCCGTCCCTTTGCCGTATCTCCGGGCCTTTAAATCATTTTAATCCCCATATCCAACAACCGTTCTGTTGGTATTTAATGGCGGCGTACGGGAAGCTGGAAAATACTTTAAAAAAATACACTCCTGAGAGAAGGAGTAGGATTTACCACCTGGATCCAACAGCCAAGCTGATTGGATAGTTTTTCTGTATTCCTCCTGCTGGCCTATGAGATACAACGTATTTCGTTGCCAATAATTAAAAAGCTTTATCGCAACAGTCTCCAATGTCAAAAGAATATGAAACTGTCATTCATTTTCACCGTTTTAGCTCAAATTATGAACAACGGACTATTACATTACACCCCTTTCCCGGAGCCACCATGGCGTTTGTTTCATGTCTGAATCTCAGCTGTATACCTTTAAGGGACATTATGATGATGTCATCTTTTTGAAAAAAATATACTGCAGCGGTCTGCAGTAAAGGACAGCTTGTGGTTGTGGTTATTGAAAAAGTAATCGATGGAAGTTCGAGAGCACTATCAACATAGCATTCACAACTCTTTTGCCAACGGCAGACTGTGACCCTGCTTTAAACCTATTTGAAGCATTAGCATATACAGAACAATAAATACATCTGTCAAATTCTGCATTGATCATGCAAGTTTATTTACATGAACGTCCCACCCACTTCCCAATTACGTCACAGAAGACCACTGTGCTTGTTCACCGGCGCCGGCCAAATGTTCTCTGCCACTTAGATTAGAAATTCTCTTTAACAACTTTTAAAAAGTTTTATGGCAATAAATACCATATGGATAAACTATATTTGTTCAAATAAATACCATATGGATAAAATATATTTGCTCAAATAAATACCATATGGATAAAATATATTTGCTCTTATGATTTCCTTAAAAAATACATGCAATCTCTTGACTTGGGCAGGAGCCTACCGGAGCTGAATACCAGCACCTCAAATGTTCTACTGCTTGAGCTCCTGTTCCTCTTATAGAATATTAGCTCAAAAGTATTGTGTAGCTCCTGCACCTAAATATAAACAGTACTGGCACTGTGTGCTCGATTCTATACACCTGTCAGCAACGGGTGTGGCTGAAATAGCAGAATACACTAATTTGAAGGGGTGTCCACATACATTTGTATATATAGTGTAGCATAGGATAGACATGTTACAACAAATCTCAGCTATACTCTATTGTTGTCCATTGTGTTGGAACGATTGACATGGTAAAGTGTTGTAAAAGTAACAGGACTTTGTGAAGAAACACAATTCAGTGTATGACAAATACTAATTGTGAGATTAAATGGCATGGCAGCATATATTTTTATTTTATTTGGTGAACAAAACAGGCATGATGTTAAAGTAGGAACTAGGAAGTTATATCAAAGGTTTTAAAGTTAGAGGCAGATTACACACACCTTGTTAAACTCGCATTGTATTTTCAAACATGAAGAGAAATTGGATTTACTTGGTGTCCTCATTCGAATGACTCCACTGAGGTATCCATTTCAATAATCAGATTCTCAATCCCACCTGAAGTCTTGTCCCACCATCTCATAGAATTTGATAATAAACGGCCTATAAAAGTCCCAGAGCTGCTTGATGACTTCCTGGCCTATCTGCACAAGTTCTACCCTTGACCTTGCCCAGGCAGCGGGGCTGGCTGCTACTCTCCTGTTTCTTCAGGCAAGGGAAGCCTTTGGTTCGGTTGAAGTGCTTGTCTGTGATGATGCATTTGAGACCCAAGAAGTCCTGGATGCGGCCCAGCTCCCCCGCCAGGTCCGTGATCAGCCGCTCGCCCTTCACAAAGTGGATCTGGGAGAGGCGAAAGTACTGCAGCCAGTTCTCTAGGTGGAGGATGTTCATCCCTATACGGATAGCATTCCATGAGGTGTCTACCAGACCCTGGCTCCAGAAGGCCAGCTCCTTGAAGGTGGGGATGTCCGGCTTCTTGGACAGAGTCTGTGTGTAGTCTGAGATGGCCCTGGTGACTGGGTAACACACCACCCCAATCAGCTTGGTGTTGGGGGACATACTGGCGATGCGTCTGGGAGTCTCTCAAAAAAAAAAAAAACGTACCGCCACCCAAAACGAGTACCGGCATGTATTTCAGTCCAAGCCAAGTGAGAGATGCTAATTGTTAACAGTTGGTCTTACTGGACAACCCTCGGCTCTGTTCTCAAATAAGTGGTCAGAAACCGAGAACAAATGACTCTGCAAACCAAATAAGCATGTCTCTTTAATTACACCCCAATTAAAAACAGTGTTCTCTGTGAGAGAACAGTGACCAAAAGAGCTTGGCGTATTCCTGTCCCGCCTATCATACAGACATGTTCAGACATCAGGAATGTGATGGGACTTTGCACTTCAGGGAGAAGTTGCAGGCTCTCAGGGGCCACTTCCAGCTATGGGCCAAACCGTGTTGTTAGAGTGCTTTCACCCTCCTCTCCTGCCAGCCACTTCCATCCTGACTGAGATGCTCATAAATAAGTGTTGTTTGAATGCTACAACCTCCTATATACTGTACAGTGTACATTCATTATTGATTACTTGTTCTAAACTCCCATTGTTTATTCCAGTGCTCAAGTGGAAATGACTCCTTTCTCGATCTTGTCATTATAATCGTTTGTGTGACTTTGTTTTTCAGTGATTAATATGTCAAAAAACTAATTAAAGTACCAGTCCACCAAGCTATGAGTTGACATTACACAGTATGGCTGAGTGATGAAGGAAAGCTAGTTGACCCTAAGGCAGAAAAAGCGACATACAATAAATACAACTTGGGCTGTAAATGAGAAAAGCTGGCTACAGTAATGTGCAAAAACTGGTTTACATGGTAAAGCTCTTCCCTACATCCCTTCTGGACAATTTGTAAACTATTGCTTGCACATTATCATGCTAAATGTCCTTCAGTTCCCAGTGCTTAAATACATCTATCGATAATTTAGCTGTGTCATTATATCTGCCTAGAACGTGCAAGGTCCCCTACATTCACTTAAGTCACTCAACCTCCCCTTGTCACTAGCTTATCTCTAAAAATTCACTGGCCCATCTCTAAATGTATGTCACTCACGCATCGCTTTGGGCTTGACTCATAAGCTCAGACCTCTCTCTCCGTCTGTGTATGGGGTTTCTTCTCACTATGATGTTATTCCAGTTCCAAACAGCAGTATTGGGATTGTTTTAAGGATCAAAGAAGCAAGTCTACTGCAAAGTTGGTTTCGAACAGTACCCATCCAAAATGACAAACAACCGAATATGAACCAAATGAGATGTGGGGAAAGCAGGGCACAACAGGACATTACAAATATATACAAGGCTTGAAGGATACTCTGACCACAATCGGAACAACCTTTCTTCTTTCCAGTCGCTTGCATTGTGTGTGTAGTTACCAGCCCATGTAACTGTCAAAATGGAAGGCACTGGACTCTGAATGGAGGTCATTTTTGTCACATTATCATGGTCCATACACATTCAGCCCAATCAGCTTTGAGAGTGTGAGGTCTATTGGTGTTGACAAGACAGGCAGGAGATGTCTTGTTCCAAGGCTGTAACGTATAGCTACACACTACATGGGGGAAAACTTTCCATCACCTTGGGAGAAGCCATTCTAGTCAGTTTCAGTACTCGGCAGTAATGGAGAAAACCAGCAGTGCAAGGACATGAGGTGAAAGAAGCAGACAGGTTTATGTAGATGCACAGCTTCTTGTTTAGTGGTAGCTCTGATGCAGCAGCGTTGTCTGGTTAGTAAAGCTAGAGTACGTTGTGTTTCCTCCCTGTCAACTCCATACAATGCACAAAAGCTGAGCTAGCTCTGCTCAGGTGGCACAACTGAACAGTATTGGTAAAGCACAATAACGAAATCAGCTAAATGTGTTATGTGCAGCAAAGCGCATAGTTTCAGTGATATTTAAGAAAAATGAGACATCGAGTGACATTAATTAGGGATACTGGGAGAATCTGGTTTTTATACTCACCCATAGTCAGAAGAACTCGTGGATACCATTTTTCATATGCTAGTGTACCCGTAGACTTCTAGTCATTGCGCTAACGCTAGTTAGCATTGGCTCGTGAAACTAACTTCCTTCATACTGCACGCAGAGACATAACAATGGTATCCACGAGTTCCTGACTCTGGGTAACAGATGTTATTTTTTTTCCTAAAAATAATATAAGCACCCATAATAGTAGTGGCAAAGTAAAACTGATCAAAATGTTGATTCTTTGTCATCTAAATAGGCAACCGCATGATTCATAAAATACATTGACTGTTAAAGGAAATTAAATCCTAATAAAGACAGCTCAAAGTAGAGTTTCAGAACCGTGCAGACTGATGAAACTATAGCTTACACATACAGTTGAAGTCTGAGGTTTACATACACTTAGGTTGGAGTCATTAAAACTGGCTTTTCAACCACTCGACAAATGTCTTGTTAACAAACTATAGTTTTGGCAAGTCAGTTAGGACATCTACTTTGTGCAGACAGATTATTTCACTGTATCACAATTCTAGTGGGTCAGAAGTTTACATACACTAAGTTGACTGTGCCTTTAAACAGCTTGGAAAATCCCAGAAAATGATGTCATGGCTTTAGAAGCATCTGATGGGCTAATTGACATCAATTGAGTCAATTGGAGGTGTACCTGTCGATGTATTTCAAGGCCTACCTTCAAACTCAGTGCCTCTTTGCTTGACATCATGGGAAAATCAAAAGAAATTGTAGACCTCCACAAGTCTGGTTCATCCTTGGGAGCAATTTCCAAATACCTGAAGGTACCACGTTCATCTGTACAAACAATAGTACGCAAGTATAAACACCATGGGACCACGCAGCCATCATACCGCTCAGGAACGAGACGCATTCTGACTCCTAGAGATGAACGTACTTTGGTGCGAATAGTGCAAATCAATCCCAGAACAACAGCAAAGGACCTTGTGAAGATGCTGGAGGAAACAGGTACAAAAGCATCTATATCCACAGTAAAATGAGTCCTATATCGACATAACCTGAAAGGCCGCTCAGCAAGGAAGAAGCCACTGCTCCAAAACCGCTATAAAAAAGCCAGACTATGGTTTGCAACTGCACATGGGGACAAAGATCTTACTTTTTGGAGAAATGTCCTCTGGTCTGATGAAACTAAAATAGAACTGTTTGGCCATAATGACCATCGTTATGTTTGGAGGATAAAGGGGGTAGCTTGCAAGCCGAAGAACACCATCCCAACCGTGAAGCACGGGGGTGGCAGCATCACGCTGTGGGGGTGCTTTGCTGCAGGAGGGACTGGTGCACTTCACAAAATAGATGGCATCATGAGGAAGGAAGGAAGATTATGTGGAGATATTGAAGCAACATCTCAAGACATCAGTCAGGAAGTTAAAGCTTGTTCGCAAATGGGTCTTCCAAATGAACAATGACCCCAAGCATTCTTCCAAAGTTGTGGCAAAATGCCTTAAGGACAACAAAGTCAAAGTATTGGAGTGGCCATCACAAAGCCCTGCCCTCAATCCTATAGAACATTTGTGGCCAGAACTGAAAAAGCGTGTGGAGCAAGGCCTACAAACCTGACTCAGTTACACCAGCTCTGTCCTGAGGAATGGGCCAAAATTCACCCAACTTATTGTGGGAAGCTTGTGGAAGGATACCCGAAACATTTGACCCAAGTTTGCCATTTAAAGGCAATGCTACCAAATACTAATTGAGTGCATGTAAACTTCTGACCCACTGGGAATGTGATGAAATAAATAAAAGCTGAAATAAATCATTCTCTCTACTATTAGTCTGACATTTCACATTCTTAAAATAAAGTGGTGATCCTAACTGACCTAAGACATGGCATTTTACTACGATTAAATGTCAGGAATTATGAAAAACAGAGTTTAAATGTATTTGGCTAAGGTGTATGTAAACTTCCGACTTCAACTGTACATACATATATATTATTTATTTGTAATAAGCAACAACAAAAAAGGAAAGAAAAAAGATAACCACTCACCTGTCTCACTAAAAATAAAAGTTTGAAGGCCGCAGAACACTTTCCCTTTGCTTGTCTTAAATACATTTTTAAAAGGCAAAAATAGTGCAAGAGGTAATGGTACAATTGGATGCTCAAAGCTGATGATGCAGATGTGACACAGCATGATCCAGGACGAGCGGAATGAGTCTATGCGTACAGAGAGGTCGGACAAACCGGTTGGCGTTCATTCCGTTATAACGTCCTCAGTCTCTAAATCAAACACATCCATTGGAGGCAGCCAGGCTCCAACTGACTAGCTTTTCCACACTAGACAGAAAAGTATAGCCCATGAAGCATGACATTACCCCCCAGAATGGAGATCAAACTAAAAGTGAACAGAAATACACAGTGGAATATACCACCTGCGCATGCCTTTTATTTTCAAGGCTGGTACTTCCTCTGTAATATAGAACTATTATCTTTGATTGGTTGGGACGCCATCCTCTCCCAGTGTGTCAGTTAATTGTGTCCCCATGGCTGGCGTCTACGAAGTCTGTGAGCCACAGACTGAGGCATCGCCATCTGGACTGAGGGCAGCTGGGTGGCCCTGCGCCAACACACTGGCAGTAACCAGGGGCAACTGTGCCACCTCGCTCACAAGGTTCTCATACTCACTGCTGTCCTCATCATCATCATCATCATCCTCTTGCCCTGCAGCCTCTCTGTCCAGGGAGTCAGAGCTGGATCCGTCCCCGTTCCCCAGGTAGGGCGTACTGGGGCTAGGACCAGGGCTGGGGCCCGCACTGAGGCCCAGACCCAGAGGACTGGGAGAAGGGTGGCCTGGAGAGCCCACAGCTTGGGGACGGGGAAGCAGCGCAGCACTGGTAGGGGAGGACGAGGAGGGGAGGAGCGAGTCATCCTGCAAGGAGAGGAGGTCTGCGTAGGAAGGGGGATTTGCAGAGGGACCAGGCCGCTCGGGGGTGGATGGGGTGTGGAAAACCACCCTGGACAGGAGGGAGGTCTCCGGGGGCTCAGAGTTCTCCTCAGGAGTAGGACATGGTTCAGGGAGTCCTAAAGTAAAGGAATAGACAACCAGGCTAAGATTAAACGGCGGGTCAATAAGAAACAAAGAACGTCCTGGTTTCTTAAAGAAATTAAATATATTTGCTTAATACCACGTAAAACACCTCCCCAGATATGGTTACAGGGAGAGGATAATTGATACATTAATCAATTTCAAGAGAGAATGAGATGGTCAGAGCAGTCAAATTCAAACCCAATTAAGTTACATACTTCTCTCCGCCTCCGCAGATTTTCGTTTCCTGAGAGCAATTTGCTGTTTGAGTTTGTTCACCTCCTCCTGGACTTTCTCTTTCACGCGTTCACTCTGCTCTACCTCTCCACATACAGCCTGAAAAAGCAATCAAGAATCATACCACTATTTATTTATACTGAACAAAAATATAAACGTAACATACAATAATTTCAAAGATTTTACTGAGTTACAGTTCATATAAGGAAATCAGTCAGTTGAAATAAATTCATTAGGCCCTAATCTATGGATTTCAGATACTTGTCCCGAAGCCTGCATTGTCTTGGCTGTGTGCTTATGGCCGTTGTCCTGTTGGAAGGTGAACCTTCGCCCCAGTCTGAGGTCCTGAGCGCTCTGGAGCAGGTTTTCATCAAGGATCTCTCTGTACTTTGCTCCGTTCATCGTTCCCTCGATCCTGACTAGTCTCCCAGTCCCTGTCGCTGAACAACATCCCCACAGCATGATGCTGCCACCACCATGCTTCACCGTAGGGATGGTGGCAGGTTTCCTCCAGATGTGACGCTTGGCATTCAGGCCAAAGAGTTACATCTTGGTTTCATCAGACCAGAGAAACTTCTTTCTCATGGTCTGAGAGTCCTTTATGTGCCTTTTGGCAAACTCCAAGCAGGCTGTCATGTGCCTTTTACTGAGGAGTGGCTTCCATCTGGCCACTCTACCATAAAGGCCTGATTGGTGGAGTGCTGCAGAGATGGTTGTCCTTCTGGAAGGTTCTCCCATCTCCACAGAGGAACTCTGGAGCTCTGTCAGAGTGACCATCGTTTTCTTGGACACCTCCCTGACCAAGGCCCTTCTCCCCCGATTTCTCAGTTTGGTAGGGCGGCCAGCTCTAGGAAGAGTCTTGGTGGTTCCAAACTTATTCCATTTAAGAATGATGGAGGCCACTGTGTTCTTGGGGACCTTCAATGCTGCAGAAATGTTTTGGACACAATCCTGTCTCGGAGCTCTACGGACAATTCCTTCGACCTTATGGCTTGGTTTTTGCTCTGAAATTGCACTGTCAACTGTGGGACCTTATATAGACAGGTGTGTGCCTTTCCAAATCATGTGGACTCCAATCAAGTTGTAGAAACAGTTCAAGGATGATCAATGGAAACAGGATGCACCTGAGCTCAATTTCGAGTCTTATAGCAAAGGGTCTGAATATTTATCTAAATAAGGTATCAGTTTATTTTATTTTATACATTCGCAAACATTTCTAAAAACCTGTTTTCACTTTGTCATTATGGAATACTGTGTGTAGATTGATGAGGATATATTTGTATTTAATCCATTTTAGAAAAAGGCTGTAACGTAACAAACTGTGGAAAAAGTAAAGGGGTCTGAATACTTTCCAAATGCACTGTAGCTATGGTGTCAACCAAAACACCACATTAATTTTTATCCAAGTATAGTATGTCACTTGAAGGGTATGAATAGCACATTTGCATGCAGTAAACTCACTTGCACTCTATCTTGTAGTGCACCGTAGACTTGAAAAATTGTTCTGATATCCTTCATCACACCGTCTTTGTCAAAGAATTCAGCCCTGCAAAACATACAGCACATCCCATTTCCATCAACACATGATTCTCAATACAAAAAAATTAACTACTTGACAGGGCCTATATGTGGGAGACACTCACCCGTGCTCTTTGATGACCTTGGCATAGTTGAGTGAGGTGTTGGGGACAGAGGAGACTTTGTATTCCTGCTGGCTGGTGGTGCCCAGGTTGGGGATGTGGAGGGTCACCCTTTGGTTGTACCTGCTGGGTGGAACCAGAGTTAGTCTGATAATACACTACAGGCAGTCTAGCCCAAAATACCCTTAAAGCTCAGACACACCGGTTGGATTGTCAAACGTTTGCCTGCCGACAGTACTTAGCACCTCTGAACAGAGTGTCGGCAGTCATCTTTTGTGTTCACACAGCAAAGACCTGGAAGTCGTTAGCCACTCAGCCTTGTTTAAATACTCCAAACCAGACGCGGCAGTAGCGTTGTTTGGCAATGCATATCCGTGCATATTGCTTATGGTCTAAATTCCAAGCTATCTGCGCTAATGTTGCTATTTTGTAGAAAGCCCTTGTTGATACTAGCCAGATGGCCACAGCTAGATTACTATCTAGCAAGATGACGAAGAAACAATTTAATTCACTCTCCATAATCCCGTACTGCCAGTGCCAGACTATAGCAAAATGTTTGAGAAGGGGGTAGCTGCCTCCCAATATGGCGACCGGAGTATGTGCTAGTGGGTGTGTCAAAAGGAAAGTAGTGGGCGTGTGGAAAGGAGTGGGTATGTTGAAAGCGCTCTGCTATAGGTTAGACTGTTTTGATTGAGCTGTGTTTTTTAAAATTCAGTTTCTTACCAGGCAACTGCCGTACATTGAGCTACCGTACCGCAAGAGTTTGGACTTCTGTTTTGAAGTGAGAGGATGAGTCCGAGTCATATTTCACTTTTAGTTTTACACAAATAATTGTACATTTTCAGTTATAAAATTGCCGTTTGTATTTGATTAAAAGTATTGGAGGGGGGGGGAGATCAGCTTTAATATTGCAGATAGAATGTATAATATAATATAATATAATATAATAATATAATATAATATAATATGCCATTTAGCAGACGCTTTTATCCAAAGCGACTTACAGTCATGCGTGCATAATTAATTTTTTTTTGTGTATGGGTGGTCCCGGGGATCGAACCCACTACCTTGGCGTTACAAGCGCCGTGCTCTACCAGCTGAGCTACAGAGGACCACCGCATCATTTCCAAACCCCATATATTTTTTGTAAGTATACAGTACCAGTCAAAAGTTGACACAGCTCCTAAAGTTTTTTTCTTTATTTTTACTATTTTCTACATTGTAGAATAATAGTGAAGACATCAAAACTATGAAATAACACATATGGAATCATGTAGTAACCAAGAAAGTGCTAAACAAATCACAATATATTTTATATTTGAGATTCTTCAAAGTAGCCCTTTGCCTTGACAGCTTTGCACACTCTTGGCATTCTCTCAACCAGCTTCATGAGATAGTCACCTGGAATGCTTTTTCAACAGTCTTGAAGGAGTTCCCACATATTCTGAGCACTTGTTGGCTGCTTTTCCGTCACTCTGCGGTCCAACTCACCCCAAACCATCTCAATTGGATTGAGGTTGGGTGATTGTGGAGGACAGGTCATCTGATGCAGCACTCCATCACTCTCCTTCTTTGTCAAATAGCCCTTACACAGCCTGTAGGTGTGTTTTGGGTCATTGTCCTGTTAAAAATCAAATGATATCCCATCTGGTTTGGGCTTAGTGGGACTGGCGTATCGCTGCAGAATGCTGTGGTAGCCATGCTGGTTAAGTGTGCCTTGAATTCTAAATAAATAACTGACAGTGTCACCCGCAAAGCACCACCACAACATCACACCTCCTCCTCCATTCTTCACGGTGGGAACCACATATACGGAGATCATCCGTTCACCTACTCTGTGTCTCACAAAGACACGGCGGTTGGAACCAAAAATCTCAAATTTGGACTCATCAGACCAAAGGACAGATTTCCACCGGTCTAATGTCCATTGCTCGTGTTTCTTGGCCCAAGCAAGTCTCTTCTTCTTATTGGTGTCGTTTAGTAGTGTTTTTTTTTGCAGCAATTCGATCATGAAGGACTGATTCACGCAGTCTCCTCTGAACAGTTGATGTTGAGATGTTTCTGTGACTTGAACTCAGTGAAGCATTTATTTGGGCTGCAATCTGAGATGCAGTTAATTGCCGATTTCTGAGGCTGGTAACTCTAATGAACTTTTCCTCTGCAGCAGAGGTAACTCTGGGTCTTCCTTTCCTGTGGCGGTCCTCATGAGAGCCAGTTTCATCATAACGCTTGATGGCTTTTGCGGCTGCACTTGAAGAAACATTCAAAGTTCTTGAAATGTTCCGTATTGATTGACCTTCATGTCTTAAAGTAATGATGGACTGTCATTTCGCTTTGCTTATTTGAGCTGTTCTTGCCATAATATGGACTTGGTCTTTTACCAAATAGGGCAATCTTCTGTATACCACCCCTACCTTGTCACAACACAACTGATTGGCTCAAACGCATTAAGAAGGAAAGAAATTCCACAATTAACACCTGTTAATTGAAATGCATTCCAGGTGACTACCTCAAGAAGCTGGTTAAGAGAATGCCAAGTGTGTGCAAAGCTGTCATCAAGGCAAAGGGTGGCCATTTGAAGAATCTCAAATATAAAATATATTTTGATTTGTTTAACACCTTTTTGGTTACCACATGATTCCATATGTGTTATTTCAGTTTTGATGTCTTCAATATTATTCTACAATGTAGAAAATAGTAAAAATTAAGAAAACCCCTGGAATGAGTAGGTGTGTCCAAACTTGACTGGTACTGTACATATACACATACATGTATATATACACACACACATCTTTTAAAATATATTTTCCTTTGTTATTTTCCACTAACCCTATTACGTGGTCCTCTGTAGCTCAGCTGGTAGAGCACGGCGCTTGTAACGCCAGGGTAGTGGGTTCGATCCCAGGGACCACCCATACACAAAAAAATAATATGTATACACGCATGACTGTAAGTCGCTTTGGATAAAAGCGTCTGCTAAATGGCATATTATTATTTTTTATTATTACCCCTCCCCTAATTGGAGTAAACGAATGAACAGTTATTTTTTTATCAATTAGTATATTTGAGTTTAACCACAATATTTGTTGTATTATTTGTTCTGTCTTTTCTGGTGGATTAAACTGAAATTGCAACCAACTTTCTATGGCTTGTTTTAAAAATAGCAATATTTTGGAGATGATTTCATTTTCAAATAACCGAAAGTGAGCGGTTGTAATCTGAAAAAAGGGAAAAAGGCAATTCTTGAACATGGGGTGAGACATTCTTACTCATTTGCTAGAGAACCAGTTCGGATTTAAGTATAACTGACGCCTTTAGTGAGAGGTCTAATGCTTTAATATTTCATCATTTCTGCCCTCCGAATTCATATTCATTATATAAATAGGCCCTTTTAATTTTGTCTGGCTTGCCATTCCAAATAAAATGGAAATGTTTTTGATCATATAATTTAAAAAACAGGTCGCTATGTGTAAGCAATACCATAAGCAAATAGGTAAACTGGGATATGACTAAAGAGTTAAATCAGGGTGATATTTCCACAAATAGACAGGTATTTTCCTTTCCATGTTAGCAATAAAAATGTATTGGAGTGAGATAATTTCTTTCTTTCGGGATATGTATACCGAGTATGTCCACATCACCGTCAGAGCATTTTATTGGTAAACTACACGGTAATGTAAAAGTTATATTTGTTTGTGATCCAATACATAATATAGTACACTTATCATAATTTGGTTTTAATCCAGAGAGGTTAGAAAAAGTATGTAGTTCCTCTATGAGACTGTGGAGGGATCCAAATTGTGGATTTAAAAGAAAACATGAATCATCAATGACACCTTTGTTTTTAAGCCCTGGATTTCTAACCCCTTGATATTACTGTTGGATCTGATTTTAACAGCTAACATTGACGGCAATACTAAATAGATATGCCGATAGTGCACAACCTTGTTTTACTTCTCTTGACAGTTTAAAACTTTGAGAAGTAGTCATTATTTACTATTTTACACATAGGGTTACTACACATAACTTTAACCCATTTTCTCAAATTCTCCAAAATGGAAATATTCCAGGAATTTATATATAAACTCCAGTTGTACTTTATCAAAAACCTTTTCAAAGTCAGCTATGAACAGCAGACCTGGTTTCCCAGATTTTTCAGTGTTCTATGGTTTCCAGTACTTGTCTTATATTATCTCCAATGTATTGTCCATGTAAAAAACATGTCTGATTAGAATGAATATTATCCGACAATACCTTTAAATTCTATGAGCTATGCATTTTGCTAGAATTTTTGCATCACAACACTGAAGTGTAAGAGGCCTCCAATTTTTTTAATGGACTGGATCTTTATATTTACCACTTGGATCCTCTTTCAGTAATAATGAAATCAGACCTTCTTGTTGAGTGTCTGATAATCTACCATTTTATATAGGAGTGGTTAAAACATGCTAATAACGGTCCTCTGAGTATATAAAAAAAGGTTTGGTATACCTCCAATGGAATGCCATCCAGCCCTGGAGTTTTCCCGGACTCAAAGGCTTTAATTGCATCAAGAAGTTCCTCCTCTGTAATTTGGCCTTCACATGAGTCTTTCTGTAAAGCTGTTAGTTTTACATTACATACAATTAGCGTTGGTTAGTGGAGATGGAGGAGACTGAAACTAAAACATATGCTTAAAGTACTTTACTTTCAAAATATAATTTGGTGAATCATGGGTGGCTCCGTCATTTGTAACAAGTTTCAGTAAATTATTTTTGGCAGCATTTCTATGTTGAAGATTACAAATAATTTGGTGCACTTTTCCCCATATTCCATCCAGTAAGCTTTATTTTTATAATATATTACACTTGATCTTTCTTGAATAAGTTCCTCCACGATGGGTGTACTGTTGCTTCATGCGTTGAATGCGTGTTCTTACTGTGACCATCATCCTAATATTCACTACTAGGTAGCTACTTCACAAACCTTTGCCGGACAGTAGTGTTTGTCAAGCGGGAGCGAAGGGCACTGTGTCCCGATGTTGTTGCCTTTCATGCCCTCCCCATTGAGTAGTAGACTATGTACACTATACAGTATGTATCAATCATATTGGGCTTTAACTACCCATACTTGAAATGTTTAGCTAGCTAGCTAACGTTAGCATATTCACTAGCTAGCACAACATAGCTAGCTAACTAACTCAGCAGCCAACACAGACAGCCGTTTCATGGAAACTAGCTAATCCATTATAATATAAATACTAGCTACAGTGGTTAGCTAGCTTGGAAGAAGTATTTAGTGTTGTATGCATTGTGTTTGTGCACTTAGCTAGCTACCATCCCATAGCCTACATTGCATATTAAGTGTGACTGGCTCATCCGTGGATGTAGCCTACAGAGAAAATGCCCTATTTTTTTTGTTGTCTCCCCCACATGGGGGTTTGTCTCTGATTGGCTTAAAGTCAAGTTGTTGGCCACTGACGAGCATTGTGATTCTATAAGTAGAATTGGAATGTTCGTCACTACCGGGTCGGCACGCATCAGGTGCCACTCGTTCTAGTAAGAGAAGGAACAGCCTCCCACTGTGATAAGTACCTATCGGCAGTGAGATTCTTGGTGTGTTTCATGCTTTACACCCATTGATGGCTGGGCACCTTTAACTTGTATGTAGGGCAGCAATATTTTACTACATTGCTTTGACTGATACTCAGGTCCAATAGATCTAGTTGAGAGTTCAGAAGCTGTAGAAATCTGCTGATATCCAGTGCCACCCACACACACAATCCCTCCAGGCCTCCACCAACCCACTCTGAGCCCTCGAGCCACGGACATAGCAGCATTTAAGTACCCCAGTTTGAGTCCAACACACAAGCCTTTAATCCCTACAGACAGACCTCCCGCTGGGCAATCCATCTGACCCTACATATAGAATGGCCAGACCCGAAATAGTTGTTTAATCCATGTGTGATTTATCTGAACTGACTTTCTATAAATTATATGCCAATGCACCCAAGGCGCCTCCACAACTAGCAACCATTAAGGCTCAAAGGAGAGGCCACTACTGTTCTCCTCCTCTGTGGAATCTGTGCCACTGACAACAGCCATGTCCTTCTGTTGCCTTAGTAGGAGGTGAAAATAAAGGGCCACTTTCAAATTACAGATTCAGATTTTGGTTTCCCCTTGTGAGGACAGTGAGTCAGTTCAAAAATGAATTATTATTCATTCCAAGCTGGCACACCTCTTGTAGACTGAAGGCAACAGAGCTGCACTTGATGGACCCGAGCTCTGATCCGCCTCCCACATACATTGACCTGCCTGCACAGGGTGAGCAACAGCGTGGGAATGAACACAGAGGAGGGAGGCTCATCAGCCAACTTCATGTACAGTGTGTGTCTGTATGAGTGGATTGTTCAGCATCGCCAATATATGCACCAGCCTGTTTGTGCATGCTGTTTGGTTCTGCGTGCATATAGCTGTGTGTGGGTAGTCCTACCTGTGGTTGGGTCTGAACAGCAAATACTCCAGTGCGTGTGTGGAGTTGTTGGCTGTGGAGATGAAGCTGAAGAGGAGGAAGACTAGGTCGGGCACGCCCAGGAGCTGGGTCAGCTGCTTGTGGATGATCTGTTCCCTGAACGACATCTGCTGCTGCGTGTTCCTCCTGAACCTGTACCAGCCGATGACATTCTACACAGGGGGGTCAAGTACAAGAGGGTAATTTAGAAGATGCACAGACAGTGTTTTAGCTACATGTACAAACTTATCGCTAGATACTACTAGCCAATAATACTACTAATGCGCATACAAATAGGCCTACAATAAATACTCACTTTCCGTCTGTCTTTAAGAATTCTCTTAAGATTCTTGTCATTGACTTGTCCAGCATAATCATAAAAGCTGGTGGGGGAAAACATGCAGGGAAAAAAATCAATTTTTTCACTGTAGGTCTACATTACTCAAGACTTCTGGTGGGGTGGGGCCACCTGCTGTTCACTGACAATTACATCACTAATTTGTTGAATGGAAGTCCTGTACGGTATTTTGCCTACAATTTGCATGATGGCATGATCAAGACAAAGCTTGCTCTCAGATTGGATACTGAATTTATGAAATATATCACTAGTCTAGGCTAATTATATTCGAGCCCATAATTTTTATAGTTTGCACATAAACCAAGCAGTCATTTCAAATACGGTTTTATTAAAAATAATGTCACAAAATGTCTTTAAAGACAACAAATTCCATATAATTTTAAATAACATAAAATCTTACCTAAATAGCTGTGCACAAGGTTCATGATTGTGGACTTCTGTTTTGAAAAAGAACACAGCAAATACATGGTTATTAAACTTCATCATATAATGTTAGTCTATGTCATCCTACACTTTAAAGGTGTAATCTGAAGTTCGAACAATAAAGTGGCCACCGATTTGGTAAACAGCGGAGGGATGAGGCTAGAGAAATGTAACCAATATCAAAGTCATGGACAGAACTATGGATACATGGACTGACCATCCATGATAAAGATTATAGTTTTAACCATGTTTTGAGGCTATACAGTGTTTGTTTATAATTACATTGTTAACAAACAAAGGAGTAAACCAGCTCATATTTTGGGTTCTGATGGGGTACGACAGCTGAACTAAGCTTATGAGGCATGTGGTTATATTCTTCAAGAATCAATGGGTATATATCATTAATTTAAAAGTCTGAAAATGTAGCAACAGCATAGTCTCTTTTTTGGTTGTTGAGATGACTACAATCCTAAGACTTTAGCCTACAGTCTACAGTATTATTGCGTACAAATCACATTTCCCAGAGACTAGCTACATAACATATTGAACAGCTGCTGTAAAGGACTTCAATTTTAAGCAGAAAAAAACAACAAGAAACACTCCTTTTAATCTGAAACCTGACAGTCCAGTCTGACAGAATTCCACAGTAACATGGAGCATATTCAGTCAAGACAAGCATGGAAACAAATAGGTCGGTTTCTTTGAGTTGAGTCCTCACATGTCAAAAAGTTAGGCTATCCAAAGCCTAGCTCTCGAAAACCTTTCTTCTCCGTAAGTTTTCAGTGGTTACATTCGCCCATTTTTGGCTCCATGTGAACTACAATACCAACATTGTGTTTTAATGTTTAGAAAAGTCGGTTTTCGAAACAACAATGTTTAGAAAAGTCGGTTTTCGAAACATATGCTGATATGCCCTTTATCTTTCATATAAGCAAGAAAGAATATTTCAACAACAAAAAATATACACCTACAGATCCACAAGCTGTCTGTGCCTCCAGTTGATGAACTACACTTCCTCCCCAGTTACGCTTACACACAGGTGTTCAGAGCACGCTAGATAGCTAATTAGCACAGGTAGCCGCTATATATTCAGTCTGTCTTCTGTAAACAAGCAATGTAACATGGAGATTTGGCCGTGTCGGAACACTAACCCTATAAAAGGTGTGTAGTAAGTTAAAGCTGCACTATGCAGAAATCGCTCCGCCATTTCCTGGTTGCTAAAATTCTAATAGTTTGCCTAATTTCAGTTTATGTGACAAAACAACCAAGTATAGTGTAGAGAATCATTGTACCATCTAAACCGCTGTGAAATATATTTTCCATAATAAAAAATATTGTATTTTCAGATGTTTGAAGCTGGTGTACAAAACTGAAAGTAAAAGACGCAAAGATGAAATTTAAGAACGGAAAGTATAGAAATAGTGCACATAGAACAGATCGACCACTTCATAGACTTGCTTTCAACAAGAGTGACAGATACACAACTAATTTCTTTGTGAATTTGGTCGGGTCGCCCAAAAAGTTCCATATCGCAGCTTTAAACTTTTGTTTTTTGAAAATTATTTGTTGCTGATATGAATGATACGTTCCTTATGTTTCCAAAAACTCACAGCAAGCGATGCGTGTTAAAGTTTAGAGCAAGCGTCAGGGCTTTTAACAAAACTCCCCACGGTCAGAAGATACTATTGTCAATAGGCGCTAAAGCAGTTAGCTTCTATGAATGGGGTATCCAAGGCCTTACCTACTACTTGGAGGAGTTCAGCACTGCTGATCTGTGTATCACATATGTTGACAGTTTCCTCTTGCCTTACTTCTCCTAAAAGGAAGCCCTCCTGTAGGAGCAAAAAGTCGTTTTTAATGACAAAACGTGGCAGAAAGACAATAACTAATACTACAATTATACAACAAATACTGTTTGAGGCCGGACACAGCTCTGGCTACAGACAGTCAAATCAAATCATGTGTCAAATGTCAGGTGAAACATCAGCATCGACTCTCAACTGTTTGCTAACAGGTGTCAATCCAGTTTTCTATCAACTGGTAAACAACAACTGTTGTGGCTTGAATGCATGCTGATTGATTTGATTATTGATTTGATAAGTTTATCATAAGTCACTTCCTAGTTGTCCAACTAGCTAGCTCGCGAGGTATGGGGTGACAGTGCTAGAATAAATTACTTCACAATACTTTACTTTATAGAAAAAAATAAAAACAAACACTTAGCAAGATTAGTACATCAGCCAGCTAGCTAGTGCGGAAAACAATATATGTAGCTAGCTCTACCTTTCTGATGATGACATAACCAATATATGCAACTTGTGCTATCTGTGACATAACGTTAGCTAGCTAATTTGTAATGGATGATGTGCAGGTGATGCAATTGCACATTTTCGTAATATTGTTAGCCAACTAACTAGCATTAGCTACATATAAATACATCAATGTTGTTGTAAATTAGCAAATGTCCTGCTGTAGTGATTGCACGTAGCTAGCTAACTACTAGCTAACGTTAGCTAGCAACAGGAAGATGACACTGGGAAACACACCAAATATACACCCAAGCTGCAATTACACAAATGTATGCACTCTCTTCTAATTCATTAAAATGTTCCCGGTACTTACATGATCAGAGTTGCTGTTAGCACTGTGATAACACACAGAACTAAAAGTATAGCCCGAAATGGATGCCGCCATGATGAAAAACATCCCCATCTATCCCACCATCCCCTGCGTTTGCACGCACGCTCCTATCGGCGTAAACATCCTGGGAAACTTCTCTTTGTGTGTATGATTTGGTGTGTATTATTATACCGATTACGCAGATAGTTTACTTTACGCGGACTAACTATTAATCTCATTTAAAACATACATAATATGTGCACATGAAAGTTGACGAATACATTTTAGTCATTTAGCAGACGCTCTTATCCAGAGCGACTTACAGTTAGTGAGTGCATACATTTTTCATACTTTGACAGGTGCTTTAGCTTATACAGTAGTTTTTAAAAGCTGGGATGATGCGTACCAGAGAGAATTGCATACATTTAAAGACATTGGAGACGTGAGATATGATAAAGATAATTATGTGTATAGTGTGAATTGATCTGTGCAGCCCTATCAACTTTGGATCGGGGGTTTTCAGAAGGGTTGAACGTTCATTTGCCTACAAACCTTTACGTTCATTTGCCTGCAACACTCTGCCCCGGTGAACCACCTACTACAGTATCCAGCTACAAAGGACACGTTATGGTCACAAAGTTGTTACAGTTGTCATTGTTCTGTACTGTGCCCCATCTCTATTTCCCAAGGTTTGGAGAAGAGAGTATGGACCGTGTGCTGCGGTTGGGTGGAAAAATAGGAAATCCCAGAAGACGCTGTCATACTTGATGTTGGGAATGGTGTCCTCTTAATTGAACTGGTAGGCTTTGAACAAAATGTAAAGGTGTGTAATTACTATTATGTAAAAAGACCAATCAGGCCTACACACCTGTAGCATATAGGACAACATTAGCTTGAATGCTTTCTTTACCTATGTCAATAATTTGTGCATTTGCATGACTTCATGTTCTTTATGCATTCCGATTTTTACTTTAGGCCAAAAGTGGATACACAAATCCCACAGGAATAGATTATTCTGCAGCCTCTGTAGAATAATAGCTTTGTTATTACATAGTAATGGAGTTGAGTGGCTTTTGTTATTATGCCAGTGATAAGGGACAGTACATTTTTCTCTTTTTCAATAACAAAAATAAGCGTTTTAGTGTTTTAGTCGTGTGTATACCAGCAATTGTACTGTGCATGGTTACAGCAAATGGTATACTTAACAGTGGGTGGCACTATTGAACTGTATTGAGGGTATTTTCATCCATATCGGGTGAATCGTTTAGATATTAGAGCACTTTTTGTACATAGTCCCCCTATTGAAGGGGACCAAAAGTATAGGGACAAATTCACTTATATTTGCGCTAAAGTAGTCAAAAGTTTAGTATTTGGTCCCGTATTCCTAGAACGCAATGATTATATCAAACTTGTGACTCTACAAACTTGTTGGATGCATTTGCTGTTTGTTTTGGTTGTGTTGTTTCAGATTATTTTGTGCCCATATTAATTTAATATAAACATTTAGCCACATCCCTCTTAAAGCTGCAATATGTAACTTTTTGGGCGACCTGACCAAATTCACATATAAATGTATGTTATAGATCTGTCATTTTCATTGAAAGTAAGTCTAAGAAGCCAAGAGAACGGAGCACATCACTCCAGTTCTTAAATCTTTACATTGGCTTCCAGTCAGGTACATAATTGATTTCAAAGTGGTGCTTTTAGTTTATAAATCTTTGAATGGTTTAGGACCCGAGTACATGTCTGATATGTTTGAAGAATATAAACTGAGCAGGGCTCTTAGATCCATGAACACAGGTCAGCTAGTAGAGCCCAGAGCCCAAACTAAACATGGAGAAGCTGCGTTTAGCACTTATGCTGTACACAACTGGAATAAACTACCAGAAGATCTTAGATGTGCCCCAAACGTATCCATTTTTGGATCCATGTTAAAAACACGTATCTTTTCACGTGCCTACGACTTTCTGCGTCTTTACTTTCGGTTTTGCACACCAGCTTCAAACAGCTGAAAATACAATACTTTTGGTTATGAAAAATATATTTCACAGCGGTTTAGATGGTACGATGATTATATACACTATACTTGCTTGTTTTGTCACATAAACTGAATTTAGGACCAGGAAATGGCGGAGCGATTTCTGCATAATGCAGCTTTAAAGCTGGAATCCTTAATGGTGAAACGTCTGTTTGCGATATTACAACAAGTTATTGCAAACAACAAACACTTTTTTTTTCATCATTGCACACATGATAGAAGAGCACAATATGTACTGCATTTGTTTTTACCACATTGGGCGACGCTCCTCACCTCCCCTACTCTGGATTCCATTTTAAACAACTCTACTCCATCCCAGTAATATTATGTTTAGGACTTTGGGTCTCTTGATTGGACCCCAGACAAACCCAGCCATTGATGCTTAGCACCCCCCCCCCCCCCCCCCCTCCCCCTCCCCCCTCCTTTCAGCGCACCATATTCCCTTGCCTGGGTCTGCTGCCATGAGGGGGAACTCTCCTGTGTTTACCCTGCAGGGTGGAGGGGTAGCAGAGAGGTGTTAAAAGTAATGGGACTCCGCCCAGCTTTGGATTCAGCCACCTTATGCCCGAGCGAGCTGACAAGATTTAACACATCTGCAGGAAAATGTGTGCAGGAAAAGCAGGTTTTAAATGCTGCTCAGCCATACAATACCAAACCTGGGGATGAGTGAGGTTCCTCCCCCATACACACACATGCATACTCTCATATTGTACACCTACCTCAGGAGGTGTGTACTGTATACTGTATTTGGTCAGAGCGCTTGCTGTTGAAGTCAATATTGACCTTAGCCTGGCAGCAGTCCTGTCTGGGTATATCAGATGGTATGTTGGTCCATGCCTCCAGAACAGTAGAACACATGAAAAGTGTGTGTGTTCTCACCTATTCTGTGCTATGTTAATGGGGTCTGCAGGAGTGTGAGGAGACTCAGGTGTGTGTCTGTGGAACAGTATTTTACTTCAGAGTGCCTTGCACATAGTCTGGCTAACGCGTGAGTATGTGAGTGTGAGACTGGCCTGGAGCATATACTGAGAGAGTGGCCAGTGGCCACAGCCGGATGCTCAGAGGGTAGGGGGACTGTCCATAGAGGTCTGTCTCTCTCTGAGGGTCATCTTTAGTACTACCTAGTATCTGCCTGAGAGCGGGACAATCCCACCTCTGTCACCATTTTGATGCACTATGTTATTTTCAACTGTTTTAAAGCCTCACCCTCCCACCACTGGCCGAAAGCACTTCACTGAGGTTTCTGGGCGCATCCATCCAAAACGAAAGGAGCCATTCCCTTGGACAAACACATTTCTCTCAACACTGAAACACTGTTGACCCCCTCATAAAACTTCAAAGATGTGACCTTTGGGTTGTGGTGAGTGTGTGGCTGCTTGGCTCACTCCAGATGTCTAGTTTTTCATGACCTACAGTGAAGGAAAAAAGTATTTGATCCCCTGCTGATTTTGTAAGTTTGCCCACTGACAAAGACATAATCAGTCTATAATTTTAATGGTAGGTTTATTTGAACAGTGAGAGACAGAATAACAACAAAAATAATCCAGAAAAACGCATGTCAAAAATGTTATAAATTGATTTGCATTTTAATGAGGGAAATAAGTATTTGAACCCTCTGCAAAACATGACTTAGTACTTGGTGGCAAAACCCTTGTTGGCAATCACAGAGGTCAAACGTTTCTTGTAGTTGGCCACCAGGTTTGCACACATCTCAGGAGGGATTTGGTCCCACTCCTCTTTGCAGATCTTCTCCAAGTCATTAAGGTTTCGAGGCTGACGTTTGGCAACTCGAACCTTCAGCTCCCTCCACAGATTTTCTATGGGATTAAGGTCTGGAGACTGGCTATGCCACTCCAGGACCTTAATGTGCTTCTTCTTGAGCCACTCCTTTGTTGCCTTGGCCGTGTGTTTTGGGTCATTGTCATGCTGGAATACCCATCCACGACCCATTTTCAATGCGCTGGCTGAGGGAAGGAGGTTCTCACCCAAGATTTGACGGTACATGGCCCCGTCCATCGTCCCTTTGATGCAGTGAAGTTGTCCTGTCCCCTTAGCAGAAAAACACCCCCAAAGCATAATGTTTCCACCTCCATGTTTGACGGTGGGGATGGTGTTCTTGGGGTCATAGGCAGCATTACTCCTCCTCCAAACACGGCGAGTTGAGTTGATGCCAAAGAGCTCGATTTTGGTCTCATCTGACCACAACACTTTCACCCAGTTCTCTGAATCATTCAGATGTTCATTGGCAAACTTCAGACGGCCCTGTATATGTGCTTTCTCGAGCAGGGGGACCTTGCGGGCGCTGCAGGATTTCAGTCCTTCACGGCGTAATGTGTTACCAATTGTTTTCTTGGTGACTATGGTCCCAGCTGCCTTGAGATCATTGACAAGATCCTCCCGTGTAGTTCTGAGCTGATTCCTCACCGTTCTCATGATCATTGCAACTCCACGAGGCCAGATCTTGCATGGAGCCCCAGGCCGAGGGAGATTTACAGTTATTTTGTGTTTCTTCCATTTGCGAATAATCGCACCAACTGTTGTCACCTTCTCACCAAGCTACTTGGCGATTATCTTGTCCCTGACATCCTTGGAGAGCTCTTTGGTCTTGGCCATGGTGGAGAGTTTGGAATCTGATTGATTGATTGCTTCTGTGGACAGGTGACTTTTATACAGGTAACAAGCTGAGATTAGGAGCACTCCCTTTAAGAGTGTGCTCCTAATCTCAGCTTGTTACCCGTATAAAAGACACCTGGGAGCCAGAAACTCTTCTGATTGAGAGGGGGTCAAATACTTATTTCCCTCATTAAAATGCAAATCAATTTATAACATTTTTGACATGCATTTTTCTGGATGTTTTTGTTGTATTTTGGCCCATTCCTCCATGCAGATCTCCTCTAGAGCAGTGATGTTTTAGGGCTGTCGCTGGGCAACACAGACTTTCAACTCCCTCCAAAGATTTTCTATGGGGTTGAGATCTGGAGACTGGCTAGGCCACTCCAGGACCTTGAAATGCTTCTTACGAAGCCACTCCTTCGTTGCCCGGGCGGTGTGTTTGGGATCATTGTCA